GTGCCACACAAATATACCAATGCACTAATGTTCCTAATTTTAATCTCTGTTGAGCAGAGCTAATGTAAGCAGAGCTAATGTAAGTGTCAGACTTACGTATGTCAATTTGCTGTTGGCAAGAGAAGCTGTTTAAGTTGCAGCTGTTCTTCTAATGGGAGAAACTGATGGCATTTTTGAAAATCACCTCATTGCATCAAGTAAAAATGTTACAAAATTGGTACATTTCCTGAATGTCACTGGATCCTCTGTAGTTAAAATCTGAGTATTGCTACATACAAGCTAACACTTCGACGCATTTAATAGACTTCATTATACAACAGTTAGTTTCGGCCACACAAGCTGATTGGTTGAGAAGCGTCTCTAACTGTGCTGTTATTTCACCATAACATCACGGTTTTTTTCACAAACACTGCATCACTCCACTGAGACGTCGTTGCTAAGCAACGACTTTGACAGCTGTAGGAGACGCTCAAGACATCTGAACGTTTTTACTTCTTACTTTGCCACAAACAGAAAATGGACACTTTTAAGATCACATTTGACCGACAGCCGATTTGGTCAGACTCTGAAGATGAGACGACACTAAATTCCCAAACTGTCATCACCACTGAGCAGCTTTTCAGTCGGCAGCTGTGACAGAAGAACTGCTAAACAACCTGGAATCAGCCAGAAATGAACCCAACACCATTCGCCAAACTAAACGTGCTGTAAGATGCTTTACAGACTGGCTGGAACAAAACAACATTAATACTGATCTGGCAAAAACTGACAAAACTGAGCTGAACTTGATATTGTGGCAGTTTTATGGCTCAGTCTGATTTGGTCAGACTCTGAAGATCAGACTGCACGTTTGGCGAATGGTGTTGGGTTCATTTCTGGCTGATTCCAGGTTGTTTAGCTGTTCTTCTGTCACAGCTGCCGACTGAAAAGCTTCTCAGTGGTGATGACAGTTGGTGATGACAGGTGGAAGGAACTGCTGACATTAAAACATATATTAAACGCCGCGTTCACGCCCCAGTTTATTAATTTATTACTTTATTTATTTAACTGTTGTATAAAAGCAATAGAACACTCGAGGAGTGTGTTATCGCTATAACATCACATCTTCTCAGTAACTTCACAGTATCTTCTCTAAAGAAGTCAAGTCTCGAGTCTCTGGGATGTGAGTCTGAGTCGAGTCTCTGGGGTGTGAGTCTGTATCAATACCTGAGTCTCTAGGGTGCAAGTCTGAGTCGAGTCTCTGGTGCATCTGTGTTGAATCTCGAGGCGCCAGAGTGAGTCCAAGTCAATTCTCGAGTATCTGAGGTGTGACTCACATTCTTGTCTCGTGCAACTCCGAGTCTCAAGTCAAGTTTGACATGGTTTCAAATAACGAACGTTATAGAAAACCTTGAGTCTAAAGGACAGAACAGAAAGACAGAAGCCCTAAGTAATAAATGCATTGTTTACAGGAAAAAGGCAAGACAACTTGAGATGGTTGGTTAGTTCGTGGTGTATGCAGCAACTATTTGGGTCAGTAACTCTGCTGATCTCCCAGATTAGCCCAGTTGGTTGAGGGGGAAAAAAAAGAAAATTCATAGTTGAAAATTAATCGTTCAAAATTTCTAATAGACCTACGTTTGCAAATAACTGCTTTGAATGAACTCATCATCTGAGTCATCATTCCTCTTTCTCTTGCCCTCTGTGTCTCTCTCTGCCTACCCGCCCATATGTTTATGCTGTTATCGCCGGAGTGGTGGCCACTGGCAGTGATAATGCTATTCCTATTTCACGTCCCAATTGAGTGGAAGAAGAGAAGAGGGAAGAGTGTGTCGGGGGGCTTCTTCTCCCCCTCACCAGTCATCATCACCTTTATCCTTCTCTATTTATAAACCTACTCAGGTTAGCTCAGGTCCGGTTCGCTCAGGGTTCACCACGTGACCCTCCAGATCAGTTTACTGCTCAGGACTGCCAGTTCACTTCCTCTGTCCTAGGGTTACTGTGTCAATGGTCACCATTTTATTGCCTGACGATATTCCACAGTGATATTGAGTAGAGTTTCCCCCCCTTACCTCAAATGTAGTTGATTTAGCCAAGACATGTTTGGTGTCCAAAGTTTCGTTTTTGGCTGGAGCTATGAGGGTAATGTAGCCTGTGCAAATTAAATTGCAAGCCTAAATCATCACTCATTTGCTTTAAACCTTGTCACATTGTTGAGTAATCTCAAATAGACTTGCTTGGAAAACATTAAGAGCAAAATTCAGGCTTCAAGATTGCTTTGCTAATGTGTCTAGCTATGTGTCCTGATCGCAAGAGGATAGTGGACAACTGTCGGCCCACTGATGGCAAAGCTGGCGGTCCAATGGCATTTTGCTCAGCATTTTCTGGGCGGCCAACCGGTGGTTAAGCAGAGTAATGGACAGAAGTCCACTTACCATTGCTCATTCACTCACGGTCCAATTTACTCATTTTTCCTTCCTTCTTAACTTTAGTTATACTTTATAAATGAGTAATAAGTCATTTTAATCTAGCTCAGTGTCAGCAACAACATTTTCTATAAAATCATTTTATATCAGGCCTAGTCATTATTTTTTTTTAGTTTCAGTTGTTTGCAATATTTGTTTAGGTTTATTTTCTAAAATAAAAGTCTGTGTGCATTTGAAATTTGTTTGGGGAGATAAAAAACTAGTTATGCAGGACAGTAATCTGGGTGGTCCGAGGGTGGACCAGCAGTGGCGTACAGTTAGCGGGGTGCCGACCTTATCGAGCCAGCGGACCGATATATGCTTGCTATCTGGGTGTCTAGCTATCTAGCTAACTATTTTTAGCTGTTGTCTATTTTTCACATAACACTGTTATATAGTTTCATAAACCACATAATCAAGTCTATTTTACATCTCAGTGAGGTTTGATTTAAGTGTGTGATGATTTAGGCATACAGTTTGTATTATGCTAATTGGTAGCGTAAAAGCTTCCACCAGCCTAGCCACCAAGCTGTAGTGCAAAACAAAGAAGCAAACTTCAGAAAGCAAATGTGTCTCGGCGGACTGACTACATTTGGGTGAAATCTGTTTAAGTTATGGGGTAAATTTAGTATTTTTGTCTTTACTGGAAAGCCCATTCTGTGAGCTCAGAGAAGAGAGCTAACAAAAGCCTTCAAGCTTTTGTTTTTTAGCCTGTGCTCCTTAGGTGGAGGCAGCTTAGCAAAGCAAATGGTCTGTTTCAGTAGTTACTAGCTTGAATGCATCTGTCATGTGAATAGGCCCTTTAGACAGGCCCATAATTCATGCAGAGATACAGAGGCAAGAATGTAAGTGCCTCTGGTATCCATATCAGTCTCAGTTCCCCTGCCGTCTGTTCACTAACTCTATTTTTACTGTCGGTAAACAAAATGGACACCAGCGCCACGGCTAAACACAGGTTTCTGTTGTCGTGATGCTAATCTGGTAGTTCGCGTGAGCCCTCGGTGCCGGGAGGGGGAAGATTCCGGAAATGATTCTAAGAAGGAATGGAAAAAGCATGTTATGTGTGTGTTCTCTCCAGCATTCAGTTTTCCATCGTGGCAGAAAGGTTGCCTGGCGATAAGGTTTCAGATATGGCCTGAAATTGAAATGCTAACTCCTTTTTAGTGGACATATGATCACACACGATGCTGGAATCAGTCTGTCTGGCCAGGAGGGTAGTTTTAGAACGTTTGGTTCCACTTTCTCATCATATTACTGACCTAGCAGACTTATAATCCCACAATAATATAAAAAAAAATTTATTCTAAGCCACATTTAAAGCTGTTGTAAAACACTTATATACACTTACTGTACTGTGAATCGTCTGGGAACCACCCTTCATTTATTTGATTTCCAGATAAAATGGCCATTTAGTACAATTGATTTATTTTTCAGGACACATTTCTGAGGAAATTAGATATAAGATAGTTCACTTGTATAAGGAACAGGAAAGTCACAGGAAAATAAGTGAAAAAAAAAAGTTTTCAAAAAAAATTTAAAAGCTACAGAGACAATGAGACTCTTAAGAACCATGCTAAACAGGGCAGTTGTGGACTGGAGGTCAGGGAACCAGCTCCCTGGAAGGTTGCTGGTTTGATCCCCTGAGCCGACATTACGTGACTGAGGTACCCTTGAGCACCTAACCCCCAACTGCTCCCCGGGCGCTGTAAATAAGGCTGGTCACCGCTCCAGGCAAGTGTGCTCACTGTCCCCTAGTGTGTGTGTGGTGTTTCACTGCATGGATGGATTAAATGCACAGATGAAATCCCCCCGTTATGAGACTAATAAGGGTCATTTAATCTAATTTAATAATTAGACCTGGTAGACCACCAAAACTGCCCCCATCAGATAAACAGTACTTAAAGAGAAAATCAAGCTGCTTCAGATCTGAAAAAATCCACGGTGTTTCTGTCCATCCTTCCACTGTGAGAAGACTCAAAGCTAGAATCTGAAAGGACATCTAGCTGTCCAGATGCTTTTGTTGAGGAAAGGAAACAGACAAAAAGTTTATTTAAAAATGTTACTTTACATAATTTACGTAATTTTTTTTGTTAAGTATGTTGTCAGCTTTTTTCCTGATGCTGAAACATGAATAACATGCACTTAATAGCCATGTTGACTGGAAATTAAATAAAATGCTGGTCTCTGCACAGTACTGTATGTTTGCACACTTCAGTTGAATTCCAAGTTAATGCATGGTTATTAAAAAAAACATTGTGCTGCTTATGAAATAATTTTGCTTGGCAACCACAGCATACAGATAATTATCTACATATCTTGGTGCTTCTCATTATGTCTAACAACAGCCCTTAACTGTGGTTAAATGACTGTAACACGTGGCCTCTCTTGGCTTCACTGCAGAGCTGTCAGGATTACACAACTGAAACCTTTAGTGCCCAACATGTTCTTAGACTTTGCTGGGTTGAAATACTTGCTGTTCCCACTATCAGGGAATGAAATGAAAGCAGTAATCCCTCAGTAATATGATTTCTCTTTCTGGCATTTTCTGACCCACAGAGCAGACTTCCTGTGCTGATGTTGGGCCGCTCAGCTGACCTCAGACCGGGCGAGTTTGTGGTTGCCATTGGCAGCCCGTTTTCCCTCCAAAACACAGTCACCACAGGGATCGTGAGCACCACCCAGAGAGGTGGCAAAGAGCTGGGCCTGCGGAACTCTGACATGGACTACATTCAGACCGATGCCATCATTAATGTAAGTGTATCGTCATTCATTCACATACACATGCGCGCACACACATTCATGTGTTTTACCTGCCTATGAATACATAACTCTCACATTATTTTGAAAACAATAGCTTGGTGAAAAATCACGTTTCCACAATTTGAGTTTATTTAGTTGTATCGTTTATTATTCTATGCAAATGCTCATCCCTGAAGCTGCATTCCCTGCAGCTTAGCTACGTCTTGCAACTGAGACTTTTAAAACATAAACGTCTCCGTCAGAACAAAACTTAGTATCTCCAAAATGGTAAGTGTACAGTTTCGCTGTCATGAGTATGAAATTTAAGCCGATTATTAATTGTCATATAAATAATTACAAGTAATGAATTAATGATCCTTTCTTGTTCATTGTATATCTATTAACCCCTTTATCTCTTATTCTCCAGGGAATATTTAGTTTTTTCCATCTGAATTTACATGACCAAATTGTAAGGCAAATTATTCAGTAACTGCATGAAATAAATGTAAATTTTTATTTTATTTATTTATTTATTTTTGGAAAATTTCCCCTCAAATGAACAGAAAATGTGTTTTATGATCATAAACGTACTATTATATGCTTACAATTTACTGCTGAAAGCCAAAAGATCTTAGATGCTCTTTGTATTTTTTTTATAAAAATAATGTTTACAGAGCAGATCACTGAAGAGACGCCATCTATTTATAGTTTATAGCCCAGATTTGTGGAAAAATGGGTCGACTTTCAGTAAACAAAACAATTGTGAGTTCAGCTTCTTTTATTATAAGGGTTTAAAATTACATCACCCATCTATTTGACTGGAAAGAAGACAGTTACAGCTCTCATATGACACCCTTTTAAATGTAGCTTATGAAATATGAAAGTTATGAAGAATAAGACGTTTGATGGCGTTTTGGAGCCACCGGTGGTCTCAAGGAGTTGAAAAGGTTAAAATCCCAGGCTTATTACATACTAAGTCTTATTATTGAGTAACCACAGGGATTTCAGTGCAAACTGGTTGAGCAATTCCTAGGTTATAAAAGAAATGGCCTGGCCATGTAAGGGGTTAAACTACTAGCCAAAAGTGGCAAATTGGCTTATTAGCCATCTTACTACCTAACTATGTTTACTAAGTAGGTAACACTGGCAGCACTGTCAGAATGGTACACTTTACTGTTGGGTCTCACACCATCTCAGTTACTCAGAATCATGTGTAGTCAAGCAAAGCTTGTGTTTTTTTCTTGAGAGTGAAAATAAACGTGAAAAAAATCCTAGCGTGCATGCTAAAAGCGTTAGACTTAGCTAATTAACTACTAAATACCAAACATTACTTGAGCTGCCCTTGTTAGACTTTTTTTAGACCTTTTTTTGTTTACATAAGCCCCGCGATCTGTCTCAATGAATGCATAGTCTTGTTACTATTATTGGGAAATCTAATGGAAAATGACGGCTTAAATAATTACGATAATTTCAAGTAACTGTGATTAGGCGATTGTGTTATAATTGTGACAGGCCTATTTATGGTACCATTTCAACTGAACCAGTTCTATCGGTCCATTCATCAAGTTCAAGTTTCAGGTTTATTTGTCATTTGCACAACATGTCAGGACATTCATGCATTAAAATGCTTGTGGTGAGGCTCAGATAATCACTCTACAGAAAGTAAACAAAGTAAAAATAAAAATACAAAGAAAATACTGAAATATATTAAATATAGAGACAGGAGGGAGCTATGTAAGGAGAAAAAAAACCTCTCTGCTATGTACAAATATATTTATATTAAACAAGGGACAGTCTGTGAAGAATATGTACATTTTAAAGTGACTGAAAAAATGATCATGAAGTGTTAATACAAGTTTTCAAATTATCCAAAACAGACAAAATTAGTGATACGAGGTTTTTGCCCGACAGCAACGATTAGTTGGTTTACTTGTCAAAAGGTTTCTGATGTCTTGGTGTACCAGGAGGCCTAGGGAGAAAGTCCACTCTTGCATTCATGTTGCGTACCCTAGACAGGTCGTAGCATGACAGGTGATAATCTTTATTTTTTATTTTTTCTTGCCGAACTATTGCTTTAACACAGCGTTTTGATTGTGTACCTAATATTTAAAATATATACTCCTGTCTGAACTTTCTTATTTTCCCTTCTAACAGTACGGAAACTCAGGAGGGCCGCTGGTTAATCTGGTAAAGATTCCACTGATTTGTTTTCTGCCATTGTTTGTTTTTCATGCACTGATACATCCGTATTGTCTTGAACGTTCATATGAGGTTCTCTTACCTGCAGGACGGTGAGGTGATTGGGATAAACACTCTAAAGGTCACAGCAGGGATCTCCTTCGCCATTCCCTCAGACAAGATCAGGCAGTTCCTCTCCGAGTCCTACGACAGGCAGGCCAGAGGTTGTACCCGCTTCATACTGCTTCACCAGCCAGCATGCAGCTGCATCCCTATCCCAAATAATGCACATTAAAGGAATACTCTAGCATTTTTCAACCTAATGCCTGTCTTCCATAACAGTAGCGTACAGTCAGTTACCACAGATGTTATTTTGATGCGTTTCAAGTTTGTTATACACCGATCAGGCATAACATTATGACCACCTCCTTGGTTGGTGGACTATTCTCAGTCCAGCAGCGACACTGAGGTGTTTAAAAACTCCAGCCGCACTGCTGTGTCTGATCCACTCAGACCAGCGCAACACACACTAACACACCACCACCACGTCAGTGTTACTGCAGTGCTGAGAATGACCCACCACCCAAATAGTACCTGCTCTGTGAGGGTCCATGGGGGTCCTGACCACTGAAGAACAGGGTAAAAGGGGGCTAAGAAAGTATCAGAGAAACAGATGGACTACAGTCTGTAACTGTAGAACCACAAAGTGCACCTATATAGTAAGTGGAGCTGATAAAATGGACAATGAGCGTAGAAACAAGGAGGTGGTCAGAATGTTATGCCTGATCGGTGCATTGTCACATATTTCAAATCTTTATTCGCAGAATTCAGCAAATGCCCTTCGGTTTCTATCATATTGAGTTTAAAGTCAGCTGGTTTTATGTTCCTTTCTAAACACAGTGATATATGTCAAAATTACCGTGTGCGGTAATCGACTGTACAGTAGATAGAGATTTGGTTGTACAGTGCTGCAGTATTCCTTTAACAGTATTATGAGATCAGTGTGGTCTATTTCCTTCTCAGTAAATTGAACTGATTGTTGTTGATCTGGCTTCTTGACAGGTAGAGGAACAGCAAGGAAGAAGTACATTGGTGTTCGAATGATGAGCCTGACCCCTGCGTTAGTATTCAAGCTGTTGAGCTCAGATATGAATGTAAATATAGTTGTGTGCAAATGTTTGGGTGCCCCTGACATGTTTAAGTAAAAATAAATACACATTCTCTATAGGGAGAACACAGTTCTGCACATTTTTTTCCAGTATGTTTGTTCCCTGTAATGTTTTAACGCACTTTCACTTAGAAAATCGACCAAATATGTAATTAGTCTTGGGCATTCAAACGTTTGCAGACATCTGTAATTTGTACCTACTAGTGGCCCCTCTTTAAGAATATATTAATCTTTCCGCAGACTGGCTAAGGAGTTGAAAGCCAAACATGGGGACTTCCCCGATGTCACATCCGGAGCCTATGTCATTGAGGTCATCTCCAAAACCCCAGCTGCAGCGTAAGTTATTAAGTTACTTACTGTTCTTTCTTTTCTTCTTGTTTTTTATTCTGTGGTCAAAAACTTGTAATGCTACTCCTCCTACAGCTTTCGAGCTACAACCACAAAACTTTGCAGGATCGTACAGCCTCTACCCCAAGAGACTACAACCACCTGGGATAGCATAGCAACAGCCTAGCAACACCTTAGCAACCACCTGGGAAAGCATAGCTAGGGCCTAGCAAGACCTTAGTAACCACCTGGGACAGTGTAGCACCTGGAATAGCAAAGTCATGGCATAGCAACACCTTAGCAGGGTGGGAAACCATAGCAACCAACTGGGTTAACATAGCAATGGCCTAGCAACACCTTAACAACTACCTGGGATACCATAGCAATGGCCTAGCAACACCTTAGCAACCACCTGGGAAAGCATAGCTAGGGCCTAGCAAGACCTTAGTAACCACCTGGGACAGTGTAGCACCTGGAATAGCAAAGTCATGGCATAGCAACACCTTAGCAGGGTGGGAAACCATAGCAACCAACTGGGTTAACATAGCAATGTTCTAGCAACGCCATGGCAACCACCTAGGACACCATAGCAATGGTCTGGTAAAACTTTAGCATCCACCTGGGATACCATAGCAATGGCTTAGCAGCACCTTAGCAACCACCTGGGAAAGCATAGCTAGGGCCAAACAAGACCTTAGTAACCACCTGGGACAGTGTAGCACCTGGAGGAACAAAGTGATGGTATAGCAACACCTTAGCAACCACCTGGGAAACCATAGCAGTGTCCTAACAACACCTTAGCAACCATATGAGATGCCATAGCAATGGCCTAGCAACACCTTAACAACCACATGAGATGCCACAGCAATGGTCTGGCAAAACTTTAGCAACCAGCTGAGATACCATAGCAATGGCCTAGCAACACCTTAGCAACTGCCAAGCAGCACCCTAACAACAAGCTGGGATATCATAGAAAACTCACAGTGTCACCATAGCAACTACCCTTAATTACTACATAAATCTAATTAAGGAATCAGAAACAATCAACAATGTTCTCCAGCTGATTGAACTCTTCAGGTGTTATTGTCTTTGTTAAGCCACTATAAAGTTCATTCACAAACTTTTCCTTTCTAGTTAGAACTTCAATTCCCATAATGCCCAACAGGTCAAAAATGACTGTACTGAATCTTGAAAGCGTTCAGATAATTTCAGTAGTTTCCACTGCGTTCCTCTGCCGTCACAGTGGGACAGATATTGTCTTTGGCTCTCTCCAAGTGCACATGTTTCAAATTTATCTGAGACCCCCACCCCTTCATTCCACACCCACCCACATAACCTCATCCTCACAGACCTACATGTTTACTTACCCCCAAAAAATCCTCCACTCAGTATTTTCTGTGACCACAGTTTAGCAGTAGTGTGTGCATGTGTGTGCTATGGTGAGGGCAGCACACTGACCAGGTGCTGATACAGCATTTCACTTTATCCTCAATCTGCTTTCACTTTTCAGGCACTTTCACAGGCACATTTCTTCCAATGGGCTGCAGTGTTTGCTTGTGAAGAAGGTAGTGGCGTAAAGGTGTGGTGGAAATGTGGAAGTGACTGTGGGCTGTGGTCTCAGATAGCATGTGCATAGCATGTGCTTGTTGACAGTACTTACATGAAGAAGCACTTTAACCCTTAGAAACCTACAATTTCGGGAAATATTACAATATCAACTACAATTGCAATTATAAAGTATTTACATGTGACAGTCACACATGCCAGATGTTGTTATTCTCAGGAGACCCTGGGCTGCTCAGATATGCCACTGCTAGAAATTTGATAACTTTATGAATATGGGTCATTTCTGATCAAAAATGTGTCTCGGCCTGCTAAATTTAGTAGTTTTTTAATTATAGAGATCTTGAAAACAAGTGCAGTTGTAGTTATCGTTTCAGAAATTCTTGGTCTGGAGTGTCTGTGAGCTGAAAGTGCAATAATTTTGATGGTGATTCATTCTGTTGGTTATTATGAGTAAAAATAAATAATTAGCATAAGGCGGACATGTTTTTTATTGATTTTCTGTCCTCTTGGATTCAGACTGAGTCCTAAAACTCTGATCCACAGCAAGACAGCTTTTATCAGTGTAAACTGGAAGCCCTTTGTTTATAATATGAAGGCTGAAAGCCGAGATGTAGTATAACAGTAGTGAGTGGGTTGTGGGTGATTTTGGAGCTGGATCTCTGGCTGATGGACGATCACAGGTGGATGAAATCACTCTGGATGGTGGGTCAGAGTCTGATGAGTGATCTGATGTGTGAATCATGTCGCTGTTTTAACCCTTTGTTGGAATATGAAGGCCAAACAGCAGAGCAATAATATCAGAATTTTAGGTAATTTCCGGGCCGAATTACTCACTGATGCTGACGTCACAGCTTGATGACGTCATGGTTGCTAGTTAGTGGCGGGTCTGCTGAATGTCTGGATATGTGGATCATGTTTGTATCGTAAACTATTCTGAAGTTATGAAGGCTAGAAGTGACCTATTGTTTTGTCTCCGGGTCCCAAGGGTTAAAGAGTCCGTATTAAAGAAGACAGTGATTTAAAATAGGCCTTCAGCTCACGTGTTCTTCGCTCCTGTGTCTATTTCAGAGTTTTTGGAGTGTCTACAAATTACTGGAAGTAAAAGTGTTGCTATTATTATTATGATGATGATCATAATGATCATTATCATCATCATAATAATCATATTATTTTTATTTTAATTATTATTATGCAGAATAATTGGTATTGTGCAGCGTAAGGTGTCACATGGTGGTTGCTGTGGTTTTCCATGTGGTTACCAGGGTGTTGTTAAAGCTGCTCTGGTTTCTCAAGTGGTTGTTAAGTTGTTGTAGGTGGTTGCTAGGGAATCCCAGTTGGTTGCTATGGTGTTTCTGGTAGTTGCTAGGTTGTTGCTATGTGGTTGCTATGGTATCCCTTGTGGTTGCTAGGTGGTTTCTATGATATCCCAGGTATTTCAGAGGGTGCTGCTATGGTATCCCTGATGGTTACTAGGGTTGCTATGAGGTTGCTATGGTATCCCAAGTGGTTGCAAGGGTGTTGCTAGGTGGTTGCTAGGGAATCCCAGTTGGTTGCTATGGTGTTTCTGGTGGTTGCTAGGTGGTTGCTATGGTATTCTAGGTGGTTGCTAGGTTGTTACTATGCGGTTTCTATGGTATCCCTTGTGGTTGCTAGGTGGTTGCTGTGATATCCCAGGTATTTCAGAGGGTGCTGCTATGGGATCCCTGATGGTCACTAGGGTTGCTACGAGATGGCTATGGTATCTCAAGTGGCTGCAAGGGTGTTGCTAGGTGGTTGCTATGGAATCCCAGTTGGTTACTGTGTAGTTTCCGGTGGTTGCTAGGATATTGCTAGGTGATTGCTATGGTATTCTAGGTGGTTGAGATGGTTGCTAGGTTGTTGCCGTGTTGTTGCTATAGTATCCCATGTGGTTGCTATGATATTCCAGATGGTTCAGAGGGTGTTGCTAGGCAGTTGCTATGGTATGCCAGATGGTTACTAGGGTTGCCACAAGGTTGCTATGGTATCCCAAGTGGTTGCTAGGTGGTTGCTATGCTATCCCAGGTAGAATATGGAAAAAGCTGAAGCTGAAACTTTGTCAAATAAAGGTAAAGCAAAGGTAAAATGTTTTACCCCAGACTCCTTTTTGATTGAGGCACAATACAGGGCAGCCAATCAGAACAAAGGTAATTTACATATATCAGTCTTAAAGGCACAGTATTAAAAACAGCCTGTTTTTCAATGTCATAAAAACGAATTATGCCTGTTTTTGGTAAATAAATTGAAATGTGGTGGGATATATTTGGTCTGCTTGGCCAGATTCCTGCTCACATTAGTCACTAACACTGGCAACTCCCAGTTCAGCGCAACTTTACGTCATAGATTTGACACATCACACAGATTCAGATGTTGATTCGTCGGACCACACGACACTTTTCCACTTCCTCTCAGTCCATTTTAAATGAGCTGAGGCCCAGAGAAGGTGGCAGCATTTCTGAATCCTGTTTATATTTGGTTTTTTCTTTGCGTTTTAGAGTTTTAACTTGCATTTGTGGATGCAGTGATGAACTGTGTTCACAGTCAGTGGTTTTCAGAAGTGTTCCTGAGCCCATGCAGTGATTTCCACTACAGAATCATGTCTGTTTTTAATGCAGTGCTGTCTGAGGGCCCGAAGATCAAGACCAGCAGATACTGTTTTTTGGCCTTGTACCTTACATACAGAGTCCAGGTGTTTTTTTAGCATTACACAACGTTATCACCTTTTTGTTGCCCCCGTCCCAACTTTTGTGGAACGTGTTGTTGGCATCAAATTCAAAATGGGCATATATATTTTTTTAAAAAAAAAAATTTTCTCAGTTTCAGCATTTGATATGTCATCTTCTTTTCAATGAAATATGGAGTTTAAAGTATTTGCTTTTTTTTAAAGTATTTTTTATTTATATTTTGCTCAGTGTCCCAACTTTTTTGGAAATGAGATTGTGTGTGTGTGTATATATATGTAGTTTATCTATCTATCTATCTATCTATCTATCTATCTATCTATCTCTCTATCTATCTATCTATCTATCTATCTCTCTATCTATCTATCTATCTATCTATCTATCTATCTCTCTCTGTATATATATATATAGCACATATATTGCATGTTTTTAATTTAAGTAAATAATGATATTCATGTTAGTTCCATTGAGATACTTTTTATACATTTGCAATCTCATTAATTCCCCCTTTAACTTCCCAGAAGTGCACACCCATGACTGAAGGTCTAATGTTGCATGTTCCCAGAGTGAGAGCTTTGTGTGTTTAGTGAAAAAAATGTCCACCACAAAGTCGCTTCAAATACACACACTCACACTCATACCCGCCAACCGCAGGCCCTTCCTGCCACACTGATGACTCACACTGTGGAGACTGATGAGCTCCAGCCTTCTTATTCTGAACTAACTGAAATAACTGCCCATCTTTCCATGTGTAAATGCCTCATGTTTGACAGTGTTGTCTCTGTTAGAGTTCTTTCACTGCAGTGTTAAAGCGACAGTTCAGCGAAAGATCTAATTTATACAGTTTTCCTCTTAATCTAAACGCAGCCAAACAGCCACGACAGGTTTACTTCTTTAGTTTTGCACTGGAGCTACAGTGGCTTATAACCACCTTATGTAAGCCATGCAAAGTTGTTAAAGGAGAATTCCATTGATTTGATGTGAAATGATTCACTGTAGGGGGGAGGGGGGGGGGATAAGAGGGACATAGTTAGGTAAACAAATTAACCAAAGGCTCGACTAAACAGGTAAGTTTTTAGCCTAGACTTAAAGATGGAGGCTGAGTCCCGAACACAGACTGGTAGGTTATTCCAAAGCTGGGGGGCTTTGTATGAAAAGGCTCCTCCCCCTGACGTAACTTTTATTTATTCTGGGTACTAATAATGAGCAGCACCTTGTGATCTAAGTGGGCGTGTCGGTTGATAATAGGAAATAAGGTCACTGAGGTACCGAGGATCAAGGCCATTCAAAGCTTTATACGTCAGTAGAAGAAACTTGTACTCAATGGGGAATTTAACTGGCAACCAATGTAAGGTACACAAAATTGGGCTAATGGGGTCAAATTTCCTGGTTACATTGTATATACATTTCATGATGGATGGACCAAAAGAACTGACCCAAAGTGACTTGTAAAGAATTCTGGTTCCATTGACTTACATTAACAGTAAAGTTTTGTGACGGCAAAAATACATTTTTGGGGGACTATTTTGCCTCACAACACCACAAATTGTTCATAAAAGAGTAACTCTGGTTCCAATCACCACCACTCTGAACAATTCTGGTAAGTTTCTCTAGAACAGCATTTCACACCAAGCTACTATGAATGACATATACATATGCAGAAATTTTGAACGTCCCCTTTAAGTAATCCTAAATAGACTTGTTTATGTGGTTTCTGACACTGTATGACACACTGCTATCTATAATCTATAAAAACAAACAGAAATGCAGGCAATATTCCAGGTTCAAATGGCTGTTACTGTGGTTTTAGCTACACAACACATTTTTGTCCATTTTTATAGATACTAGAATGTCAGTGTGAGAAACCACATCAACAGTTAGTTATGTTAATTTGCTATATGCTTGTTACATAATAACTATATATGCCTCATAGCTCCACTGCAAACCTTCAGACACCAAATAAGTCTTAACTGATTGACTATATTTTGGGTAAAGGGAGATTTTTGTAAATTTATGTGATTTCTGTTACTTCAGTCCCTTAAATTTGGGTAACAAGGAAATGTGGGCAGTTTCTCACTTTCATAACTACATAACCTACATAGTAGCTGCGTTCCAAAGCCTAGGTTGCAGCCAAAGTAGTGTGGGTCCTCGGTAGGACTGTCCTATGAAGACTCCTTAGTAGCCTATTGGTCATACAAATGAATCAGTCCTAATGAGGCTGCGTGGTGACGTCACCAGAGCGCCGCGACACTCATAAGGGAACTGGTGAGAGAAAATGGAGCCTGATTGAGTTTGTTTTCATTTCTTCACAGAAATGGAGGAGATGTTTTTATGTAGAACGATAAACTACATATTTACAAATACTTCTCAATAAAATAGGATATATGGACAAATTCTTTAATTATTCAGTGATTTTACACTTTATAAGGTTCCGAAGACGAATTAAAGTACGTGAACAACTTATATTTTATAGCTCTACTCCAACGGCTTTGTTTTCCGGTATTTTTCGTGGTGCTGTTTTTCTTTTTTTCCTTCACGTCGTTCATGTGCAGAGAACCGTGGGTAACCGAAGGCCTGGACATCTGATGCATCCTTGAAATCACTCAGAACGTAGGCCGTATTTCTAGGCTGTATACGAAGCGTCCTTCACTTTGGAACGGCCTGCTATGACGACGCAGCCTAGGCTTTGAAACGCAGCTAATAGTTTCATAGTAGTTGCTGAATAATCCATAAAGGCTAGTGAACAGTTAATACACCTTAAGATTAAGAACTGGAAAATTAGCCTGGCTTTAAGAGGGTAAATAGGAGGATATCTGAACTGTGCTAAAAGGTTAAGTTAGTAGTGTTTTGGCTTTGAGTTCAGCATTTTTGTATGTGCTATTTTTATAGATTGCGCAACTCTGCAGCAACTCAAAAAATACATTGTGTATGACGGTTTGTATTAGCTTTGGAAATGGTCAGGAAAAAAATCTGGGAAATGCACTTATGTTTGATTTGTATTGGAGAAGTTTCAGTCTCCATAATTACACTGGAGTGTCCTTTATCAAAAATAGTGACAGTAATTTTTATTCCTCCGTCCTCCACACACTGCCTCTTTCTTTCTGGGTCTATTTTTTCACTCTTTCTTGTGGTCTTACCCTTTTATTCGCTTTGCTTGGTCTCGTTATATGTATATTTATATATACATATATGCGCCATGACGTGCAATATATGTCAATGTATGTGATATGTGTGTATATTATCACTGAAAGTAAGAAAAACATATGTACATATACTTCTTTATATCTGAAATATATTTGCAATGTTTGTTAATATATGTATTGTCTTGTAAATGTAACGTCTTGTATATGTAATTCCCAGCTAGTAAAAATATACATGTACATATCTCAAATATATGTGCAATATATGCCAGTATATGCATGTCTTTTTTTTAAACTAAGAACATATGTACATATATTTCTTCATAGTTAACATATGTAATATATGTTAATATATGTAATGCCTTAGTGCTGAAATTCCGAACGAGGAAAAATATACATACATAAACTTCTTCGTATCTAAACTACATGTGCAATATAAGTCTTAGCACTGAAATTCCAAGCTAAGAACAAAACATTCACATATTTCTTCATATCTAAAATATATGTGCAATATATGTCTGCCCTCAAAGTCACATATATTCATATATGTGAATACGTTTTCATGTGATCACGTTTTTTTTTTTTTTTCAAATGTGAACATGATTTCAAATGTGATTACTATGGCAAGCCGTTTTAGCTTTTAATCCTTTTTTTCTTAAAATCAGGAATTCAATTTACCCTTGAAAATTTTATTATTTCTAGTAAAAATTTAATTAGAATTAGTAAATTTGTATTTTCTACAAGTAAAAATATTGTACATTTTAATTAAATTTTTACATGTGAAATTTAAGTTATTAATAGTAAAAATCTAATGTTCACAAGTAAAAATTTGTAGTTTGTATTTGCACTAGTAAAAATTTAATTCGTGTTATCAAGAATTACATTTCTACATGTGAAAATAAAATTTTCACTAGTGAAAATGTAATTCTTACTAGTAAAAATGTTTCCCTCATTAATATGAAAGGAGAAATTCATGAATTATAACTAGTAAAATTAAAATTTTGACTAGTAAGAAATTTTTACGTGTAAATTAAATTCCTGATATCAAGAAAAAAAGAATTAAAAGCTACAACAGTCCGCCATAGATTGTTTGTTTTTTTTTAACGTGATGACACGTTTTTAACACGTGAAGTGTGTAAAAGCCACATGTGAAGTTCATGTGATGTTTCTGAATGAGTTTATGTCTTTGCACTGAAATTCCAACCAAGAAAAAACATATGCACATATATTTCTTCATATCTAAAATATATGTGCCATAAATGTTAGTACATGAAATATCTTTGCACCAAATTTCCAAAGTCTGGTAAATATATGTACATATATTTCTTCGCATCTAAAATATATGTTTCATATATGTCAATATATGCGATGCCTTAGCAACAAACTGTTCTCTGTCTTTCTTCCTCTTTGTTTTCTCTCTCTGTCTGTTTCTCTTTCTCTTTTCCAGTGGTGGCCTGAAGGAGCATGATGTCATCATCTCCATCAACAGTCAACAGATCTCCTCGGCAACAGACGTCAGCGCTGCCATCAAAAGAGACGCCGTGTTACGCATGGTCGTTCGCCGTAGCAACGAGGATGTTATCCTCACCATCGTCCCCATGGAAGTTGACCCTTGACCTTGACTGGAGCTGGTGCTCATTCTCCACACCAATGAACTTACTGGGCATGTCCGAGGTCACGCCCACAGGAGTGACTTTGGTCAGTAGCCGAAGGCCTTCTAATGACCGGCGGGGTGAAGGTCCTGCCTTACAGATTGTACAGAGCACATTGATGTAGATCCTTGTTCACATATATTAAGTCTTTTTGTTTTTATTTTAAAAAACTACTGTTTACCAGTTAAAATAAACCATTAAGCATGGTTAGTTCTCAAAGTTGTTGTTTCTTTTAATGAATAAAAATGAACATGGTATTAAACGTTTCTCATCCCATATCCAGCCCAGCAACGTCAGACGAAAAATGTACAGCGATTTCAGAAAGTTGTGTTAGATTTTATACCTTTTTTTTGTAAAATAAAATTGACTTTTTTGCTTTTTGTATTTGAAAAAGAATAAAAGACATTTGATATTTTCGCTCTCAAAGATATCAAAGTATATGATGAGTCTGAAATATTGCACTAATGATTTACTTTACAGCTTTTACCTACACTGTTCCTCCACTCACTGACCACTGTATGAGCTCCGGTTGGCCATGTGTAGCGCTGACACGCGCGTATCAGGCTCAGCTGTGTTGTTCATCACCGCTAGGTTGAGAGTGCTCTGCCACCCAAATACACCGATCAGCCATAACATTATGACCACCTCCTTGTTTCTACGCTCATTGTCCATTTTATCAGCTCCACTTACTATATAGGTGCACTTTGTAGTTCTACAGTTACAGACTGTAGTCCATCTGTTTCTCTGATACTTTGTTAGCCCCCTTTTACCCTGTTCTTCAGTGGTCAGGACCCCCATGGACCCTCACAGAGCAGGTACTATTTGGGTGGTGGATCGTTCTCAGCACTGCAGTAACACTGACGTGGTGGTGTGTTTGTGTGTTGCGCTGGTGCGAGTGGATCAGACAGTTTTTAAACACTGTGTCCACTCTATTAGACACTCCTACCTTGTCAGTCCACCTTGTAGATGTAAAGTCAGAGACGATAGCTCATCTGCTGCTGCACAGTTTGCGTTGGTCATCCTCTAGTCCTTCATCAGTGGTCACAGGACGCTGCCCACAGGATGCTGTTGGCTGGATATTTTTGGTTGGTGGACTATTCTCAGTCCAGCAGTGACACTAAGGTGTTTAAAAACTGTCCGATCACCACTGTAAAGAAATCAGAGTCATTAAGCTTCTCCACCGTGAACCATTTTACTTCAACCCACTCTGAATGACTTTGTTTACATCTCAGTGATTGAATTATGCAGAATCTTTAAGGAAAGGAAGAGCTTAACGTAAAAAAATCACAAATGTTTTATGTGAGTGACCACTAATGAATTTTCTCTCTTTCTCTTGCCAGTGAGTTGAGTTGCTGCAATTAATTGACTGTTTTTATTAAAACACCCAACCAAATTCATATAAAATAACAGCTCACAACTGTGCTGCTTATCTTAAGAGCCAATAATACCCATTATTCACCACATAACAACAATATTGAATATTTTTGGCTCCCCACATCTTTTAACTGTGTAGGTTTTCCATATATTATCAATACTTTTACTTAAGGATGGATTTTTGGTGCTTTTTCCACCTTTGTTCATTATTAACTCCAGCGTTTTTCTCTAATCCTAACACATTTCATGCACTTTCAATAGCATTAAAGTCCTGAATTATACTTAAATACTATGAAATCCTGTGTTTGTCATCTTCTGTCAAAGCATCAAACCTCCATATAACAATCCAAAAACCAGGTAACCTATTCAAGCTCTTAAAAATAAAGCTGTTTGAGAGGGTTATTTGGAGCTATTTCATAGAAGAACTACTTTAGGTTCCTTAAAGAACCTTTCAGCAGATGGTTCTTTATGGACCAGTTTTGTAGGTGCGATTTGTGAGTGTGAAGAACCTTTTTTAAAGCTTAAAGAACCTCCATAGTTGACACACCCTCTACAGGGAACGAACCTAAACGTGGCATTTGACTGCAAATCAGACATATCGGACAAAATAACACAAAAAAACACAAATGTGCAAAACGTTTGCACAGCTCACATTTTATTTTTTAATGTTCCAAAATGTTTAATTCAGCAAATACACAATGTCTATGCATTAAAATGTGCTGAAGTGTGTTCTCCGTAGATGATGTTCTCTTAAAAAGCATGCCATTTGACCAGGGGTGCCCAAACATTTGCACACGACTGTACATCCAAGCCAAAAACCCTTAGAAACCTAAAATTTTGGGGATTTTTTTGGTATTTTTTGGGTCAATTACACTTGCAGTTATAAAGTGTTTACATGTGATGGTCACACATGCCATATGTTGTTATTTTCAGGAGACCCTGGGCTACTCAGATATGCCATTGTATGACATGTAAATGCTAACAGAAATCTGATTTAAACTTTATGAATTTGGGTCATTTCTGATCAAAAATCTACCCAGCGCCTGCTAAATTTAGTATTTTTTTAATTATAGAGATCTTGAAAACAAGTGCAGTTGTAGTTATCTTTTCAGAAATTCTTGGTCTGGAGTGTCTGTGAGCTGAAAGTGCAATAATTTTGATGGTGATTCATTCTGTTGGTTATTATGAGTAAAAATAAACAATTAGAATAAGGCGGACATGTTTTTTTATTGATTGTCTCTCCTCTTGGATTCAGGCTGAGTCCTAAAACTCTGATACACAGCAAGACAGTGTTTATTTTTAATTACAAATTTAGTTGCATATTTAATATCAGATATCTTTAATACTCAAAATCAATGTAAACTGAAACCCCTTTGTTTATAATATGAAGGCTGAAAGCAGAGATGTAGTATAACAGTACCGAGTGGGTTGTGGGTGATTTTGGAGCTGATCTCTGGCTGATGGACGGTCACAGGTGGATGAAATCACTCTGGATGGTGGGTCAGAGTCTGATGAGTGATCTGATGTGTGAATCATGTCGCTGTTTTAACCCTTTGTTGGAATATGAAGGCCAAAGAGCAGAGCAATAATATCAGGAGTTTAGGTGATTTTCCGAGCCAAATTACTCACTGATGCTGACATCACAACTCGACGACATCTGCTGAATGTCCTGATATGTGGATCATTATTGTATCTTAAACCGTTCTGAAGTTATGAAGGCTTGAAGTGACCTACCGTTTTTTAAGGGTTAAGAACTTTTGTTTTTAATAACGTACTTATAAACTGGACCAGACAAACCCTGCTCCAAATTCAAAACAACAGGCCCAGTCCTCCAGGCTTAACTGCAGCCTTTCAGCAGGCCTGTATACAAGTTGAAAGCTAATTTAATATTACTCCACCCAAATAATACGTTTCCATGCTGGCAAATTCCTTTGTTTGTCAATCTAATGCTGTCCAGCAGAAAAAACAACCATTTTTATAACACAAAGTGACAGAAAACCACTGATTCACGCCCAGTGGCAGGCGCAGAAAACATCCTGTGTGTCTGTTTTGAATTTATTTCGTACTTTCTTTTGCAGTGTGTGTGTGTGTGTGTGTGTGGGTGGGTGTGTGTGTGTGAATCTGGTGAACACTTGTTCACTCATCAGCATTACAAGCACACTTGTTGGAATCAGTGAGCACATAAAAGAAAAACATGTGTCCCAGCTGCCCCAATGAAGAACTCTTATAAATAATACATAAAAAATGAGTGTGTTTACTGGCACTTAATAATCTGATAACTGCAGAAAATCAGATTCTGTCAGTAATCCGGTCAACATGTTCACTTGAGTAATCAGATAATAGGGAAACTCCAGGTCTACATGAGTCAGACAGTAATCAGATTTCTGCTGTGTAACCAGCCAATAAACTCACAGAAGAAGACGAGACGTAAACGTAACGTAAAACTCAAACTTCATTGCGCCGCTTTACCTGAAAATATGAACCTACATCATCTAGAACAGAGGTCACTACTAGGCGGAGCGCGAGCCGAGTCCGGACCCAGACCTTGTCCTACGTGGACCTGGACCTTTAACCAATAAACTATGGAGAAATATTTAATTTCGACGGGGTGGTCCTGTTTTAATCAGTGTAACTTTTCTACTCTTTATGGTACCAGTTTAGTAGCCGGAGAGACCCACAGACCAATCGCATGTGTTGTAAATATCACACATGATGCTACTCAGCCAATCAGATCTGTGCATTACGATGAGCACTGAGACTCGAGTGAGTGAGGCACACACAGGGGAGGGACAAGGCGAGACACAGCAGTCAGAGAAGAAAGTGAGTCAGAGGGAAGTTATTTCACATGGCGTGATCTAAAAAGAGAAAACTGGCAATAAATGTTGTTGAAATATGACTGAACTGTACTTTATTTGATTTGATATTCAGTTGTCGACTGTATAAGATGTTGATATACCTACTAGGCTTCTTCAGTAAACAGTATATGGCACTGAATCATAATGCAAGTTAGACGTTATGATGTTCTGGACCTTCGCTTGAGGAAATTTTCTCTAACTGGACCTTATTGAATTTTAATTAAAGACTCCTGATCTTGAAGATGAAGAATATTTAAATCCTTCATTTCTTCAAGAATGTAGTCGGTTTCATTGTCGCTCCAAATGTGATTTGCTGCGTCTTGCGGTGACACTGTTCGCTTATTTTCTGGTACAGCAGTCTATTTCGCACGTGCAGGCTGAGAAATCCGAAAGAAATCAGAGTAAGAGTTTACATGCACTGAGAAATCTGATTACTGAGCTAAAATCCAGCTCTCTTTATCAGATTTCTTAATCGGAATTCTTGATCGGAGTATGGTGTTTACATGATCATTTGAATAATCGGATAACTGCAGAAATCAGATTATGATCAGATTATTGAGTGTATGTAAACACACTCAATAATAAAGTCACCGAATGGCTTCCTTCTGCTAAAGCCTGATTTAAAATTCCAATTTTTCAAACTTTCTGCATAAAACTGCTGTTGAGATGTATTCAACATCATTCGGAGTATTCTGATGTGAAATGCATCATTTTAGAGAATTTTAAGAGAGTCAGATTTCTTTACAGTGGTGGTGATAGGAACCAGGGGTCATGATATCTATAACACAAATATAGCCATTTTATTTATCATCCAAAACCACCAGTGAACCTACACGAGTCTTCTGAGTTTTGTATATGTTGTTGATGATGGTATAATAGTAGCAAATCTGATGAAATACATTTTCTTCTGGAACTATTTGGCCTTATAATGCCCTGGATTACCAAGAATAGATGTAAAAACACATTAGGCCCATCTCTAAACTATGTTAAAACAATGCATTATGCATCAGGCAACATATTCATAATCATTACACTTAATAAAGGGGAGCTTTTAGAGGCATTAATGTCTTCAGACGTCTGGTTCCTATCACCACCACTGTGAACAATTCTGACTGTAGGTTTCTCTATAAAAGAGCATTTAATATCAAACCACTGATTTTATTTGCATTTAATAATAGGATATTTGAAAACCCCTTTAACTTGTAAACTGACCATGAATAATAAGACTAATGAATATTTGTTTTTAAGGTGAAGTCTCACATTTATAAGCTCTTGGAAAATAAAAGATGACATTGAATATATTGTGGAAGAAAGTTCACTAAGAGTGCCTGAGAAGACTGAAGACTCTTTGAGAAGACCAAAGTGCCTCCTACTGGTGAAATAAGACATTGCACTTCTTCCTAACAACTACAATAGACCAACTTCACGCTTCTTTTTCCCTTTTAACAAACCTGTTAATGTGGTCACACATGGAACTAATCAGACAAGTCGGACTGGTTGTAGATTGTTAACTGTAACCACCACAATGGTGGTGTGGTGACTGTGGTGGTCCCTCCTACCAAGCTAGCCTGGTGTCACAGATGCAATCCATTAACTGAAGTTTGGTGATGGAAATAGGGGTCACAATGTGTACAATGCAAATATACTATTTTATTTACTATCCAAAATGACCAGTGAACCTATACAAATCTGAGTTTTTGTAAGTAGTGATGATAATGGGAAAATAGTGGTAAATTATGGTAAATAGATAAAAAAAAGTGGTTAAAAATTCACCTCGTAACTCCCTGCATGTACCTCTCCATCATGAACTGATTAATAAAAATAAATTTTAACCCAAAACTTTGTCTGAAAACTACTACAGAACAATGTCTCGGCCTTCATAAACGCACTGTAATAACTTTCTGTGCAGCTTTTAGAAGCTTTATACATTTCAGACGGTTCCTATCAAAACCTCTTTGCACAATTCTGACTCTGTAAGCATTTCGCATCAGACTACTTTGAATGTCTTTGTTTACATCTCTTTTTTACATATTTGTTTACATCTTTCAGTTGAATCTGTGGTGGAATTTTGGTGGAATTACCCTTCAAAATACTGTTCCCTTCTTTTCTTCTACCTCCATATCCCAGTCTGTCCATCTTGAAATTATTACCATCAAATTTCAGGAATAACAGTAGATTACAAGTGTTCCCCAAAAAATTATTTTTATAAAAAATTACAGAGCATCTAAGATTTTTGGCTTTCATCAGTAAATTGTAAGCATATAGCAACGTGTGTGTGATCATAAAACACATTTGAGGGGAGCTTTTCCAAAAAAACACCAACATTTACATTTATTTCATGCAGTTACTGAATAATTGGCCTTAGGATTTGGGCGCGTAAATTCAGGTGGAAAAGCCGAAATATACCCTGGAGAATAACTGGTTAAGACCTAGAATGTCCTCTTTACAAATTGAGTCTAAAGTGCCCTCAGTATAATATAAACATCAAAAAACCCAAAAATAACTTTAGTTCATTTTTTTATCCATTTGCTTGATCAAACTTCATTACACGTATTGTGCTCTGACCACTCAACAGAAATCGTCCACAGAGAGGTCAGCTGAGGTCACTGCTGCGGTTTCATCTTCAAAGGGAAGGTTTCTTACTTTGAAGTATTCATAGTTCCAGCGGTATTGACAAAAAACCTCTGTGAAAGACTGTTGTAAACACACGACGAGTGCTCAGACTTCCAATGAATGCATGCACAGATGACGGAGATAAAGAAAGTATTTCATCAGATTTTTCATTGTTAGACTGAATTTCACAGCAATGTTTGGCCGCTCATTGTTGTGTAGAAAAGATCTGTAGCTGCTGTAAAGCTTAGAACAAACTGATCTGTAATGCTTTTCACACAGGCCCCAACTCTACTGGAGAGCTCTCTCTAAATCAGACTTTAAAATGCTAGGTAAACAGAACAAAGTACCAACAAACCTTATTGAAGCACCATATCTTTGAGTACCAATGCCTTGTGTCATGACTTCAAGCCCTTGTTTATAATAAATCCATGCATTTGTCATTACAAGTTTCTTTCTCCATCACAATCAAAACTTGAGGATTTTCTTTTTAGCTCATTTTCTTTTTATAATGTGTTACTTCACCTCCTATTAAAGGGGAGTTCCACAGATTTTTCAAAATGTCCCCGTAATTCATTGGTTGAGATGTAAACACAGTCATTCAGACTGATTTGGTGTCAAATTTATCACTGTAGAGAAACTCTTACCAACTCTGATATCTTTACAGTGGTGGTGATAGGAACCGGGGGTCGCAATGTGTGCAACTCAAATACACCCATTTAATTTACTATCCAAAACCACCAATGAACCTACATAAGGTCTTTTTGCCTTATAACGACCAGCATATACACGCACACACACATCTTCCAAGCCGCTTATCCTTCTGGGTCGCAGGGGGAGCTGGAGCCTATCCCAGCAGTCATTAGGTGGAAGGCAGGATACACCCTGGACAGGTCACCAGCATATATTTATTTGAAAAAAGTACAAAGACAACATATCAGATGCTAAAACTGAGAAATTTGATTGTTTTTTGAAACTATATGCCCAATTTGAATTTGAAACCATTTCAAAAAATCGGTGGAAATTCCCCTCTAAAATATACGTGTTGCACAGATATGTTTGTATATGTTGATATATGATTAAAATATCTGTCCCATATTTTTAAAAATGGCCAATTTTGAATAAGCTGGCATATAGCTATGTCACGTATATGCCCAGATGTGACTCATACACGCCGGCTATATGGGAAATCCATACATGCTAATATATTTCATATATTTGAAATCCATACATTGCTGTCTATCAGATTTCCATATACGCTTTAACCATCATAGATTTACACACACATATATATATATATATATATATATAAACTCAGAAGACTCGTGTAGGTTCACTGGTGGTTTCGGATAATAAACAAAATGTCTATATTTGTGTTGTAGTCATGGCGACACCTGGTTCCTATCACCACCACTATAAAGAAATCTGAGTCTGTAGTTTTCTCTAAAATGAACCATTTCACATCAAACCACTCTGAATGACTTTGTTTACTTGGCAACGACGGAATTATGCAAAAAATCGGTGGAAATTCCCCTCTAAAATATATGTGTTGCACAGATATGTTTGTATATGTTGATATATGACTAAAATATCTGTCCCATATTTGTAAAAAATGGCCAATTTTGAATAAGCTGGGATATAGCTATGTCATGTATATGCCCAGATGTGACAAACACAGGCTGGATATACGGGAAATTCATACATGCTAATGTATGTCATATATTTGAAATCCATGCATTGCCATCTATCAGACTTTCAAATAGGATACTGTACCCAAATATTTGTTTATATACTTTTTTCCCAGAGGATTATATATGTAAACTCAGATCTATGTATATTACATTTCCTGTCCCCCCAAAGGCCGAGGAAGTTCACTTCAAAATAGTGAGTGGAATATATCCACCTGAGGAATTTCTGAGACAATTTGGATAAAAATGTTTGTGCTTTCTGTAAAGAAGATATTGAAACAACTGAGCATTTATTTGTTTCCTGTAAGGGCTCGAACACATTTTGGGATGATTTACATTATCGGTTATACCCAAAGATTGTGGGTTTGAGTGCATTTTACAAATGCATGTATTACACATGGAATGATTTTCCGAGACGCAGATTCTGAAATGGTTGTAAATGTTATTTATTGTTAGGAAAGTTTTTCATGCACAAAGTAAGGTACATGAAAACAACACCATCTTTTTTATGTTTTTTGTAAGGAGCTCATGCACTATTCTGGCACCTTAGAGTGCATGAAAAAGAAAAATGTTACTAAAAAGAAAAAAGTTACTAAAATTAATTTATGAAAATGTTTTGAAAGACACCAGGGAGTAATTGTCTCTCCCCTAACACCCCACCCCCCCTTCTTTTATTTATTTATTTATTTAAGTATGGTTACTTAAATTTACTGACCGCTTCAGTTTGTGTTAAGTAAATAAGTGTACACTGCATTGCCATTACTGTTTGTACATTGATTGCATTAAAAAAAAATTCATATATTTGAAATCCCGCTTACGGAGCCCTGCTGGTGACATCCTGTATAAATAAAACGCGTGGGAATGGGATCTTAATGCGTGGCCATGACTTAGTAAGGCGCGGGAATGAGATAATGAAGTCGTGGCCACGACTTAGTAAGGCGCGGGAATGAGATGATGAAGTCTCGTTCCCACGCCTTACTAAGTCGTGGCCACACATTATTTTTATTTATATAGGATGTCACCAGCGGGGCTCTGTACTAGAGATGAGATGATTAAGTTGTGGCGGCTTAGTAAAGTGTGGGAATGAGATGATTAAGTCGTGGCCACGGCTTAGTAAAGCATGGGAATGAGATGATTAAGTCGTGGCCACGACTTAGTAAGCCGTGATCTCGTTCCCACGCCTTACTAAGTCGTGGCCACACATTATTTTTATTTATATAGGATGTCACCAGCAGGGCTCTGTACTAGAGATGAGATGATTAAGTCGTGGCGGCTTAGTAAAGTGTGGGAATGAGATGATTAAGTCGTGGCCACGGCTTAGTAAAGCGTGGGAACGAGATCCTAATGCGTGGCCACGACTTAGTAAGCCGTGATCTCGTTCCCACGCATTAATAAGGCGTGGCCACGCATTATTTTTATTTATACAGGATGTCACCAGGGGGGCTCCGTAGGGGGAGATCCATACATTGCCGTCTATCAGGTTTCCGTATGCGCTGTAACCAATAGCGCGTCCTCTTACTGCCTCTCCGCTCACTCAGCCTGTCGGGGAACCCGCTGTCGAAGCGCTCACCTGATTGGACAGTTCCGTGCGCGTCAGTCCTGGCAGACGGGAGGAGAGTGGAAGAGGAGGGGTGGTTTTAATGGCGCATCACAGTCGGACTGATCCACCTTGCAATAAATAAATTATAACCTCGCGTTGATAATTGGTAAATTTACCGATTTTACTGAGTGACCCGGCGCGTCGTCTGTTCTTTTGTGCGCTTACCCGGCAACCAACCGATCGGCTCGTCCGCTTGGAGCACTGAGCCAGGAGGCCTAGCCGGGAGTTAGCTTACCCGCTTCGGCTAGCAGGAGGGGGAAGAGGCGGTCGGAGCGAAGTGCAGAGAGGTGAGTAGACTGGCCTTTTAAATCTCGCAGACCCAGCGTCCAGGAATTTCAAGAGCTGGACCGTCTACGGGACCTGTTCGGGTGCAGTTGGGAGACTTTTCCGCCGTCAGTTCGGCTCCTTTAGCGCGTCGAGGCGCGGCGGTTTGTCTGTGTAAACATGACGACGGGGAGGTAAACAGCGGTTAGCCAGCCGGCTAAGCTAAGCTAGTTTAGCCGAGTCACAACTGTCATTGTCAGACTTCGCCAGCAAAACACCGAGATTCTGATCATAATAATGGAAACTCAGACACTCATGAAGTCAGAAATGTGTCGTGCCCCCATGGCGGTTTCCCCGGCTGCTGCTTTATTCACTTTTGTTAGCCGCTTATGTAAATAAAGCAGATAAGTAAGTGGTGTAAGCTGTAAGCTAGCTTAGCTAGGCCCATTTGTCGATTCATCTGTTCTCCCCCCGCTGCTGTTTTAGCTGTTTTAACGCATCTGTTAGTTGGACAAATGTTTAGCGCATAGTTTCAGCTGCTTCTCGTAACTGTGGGGGTCGTGGAGGACCAGCTTTGGCTCCACAGTGCTGGGAAGAGGCTAAGTATTCAGTGAGGGCTGAATACTGACAGTCCATTGCAGTACAGTAAAGGGGAATTGCACTGATTTGTCAATTTCTGCGTGGTTGAGGTGTGAATAAAGTCGTACGTAGTGGTTCGGTGTGAAATGATTCCTTTGTTGAGAAACTAGCCGACTGTTTCTTTACAGTGGTGGTGATGGGAATCAGCTGTCCTGATGTCTACAAAACAGATATAGCCAGTTTATTTACTATCCAAAACCACCAGTGAACCTTCATGTGTCTTCTGAGATTTTAGTTGTGTTGTTGATGATGGTAAAATAGTGGTCAGTCTGACAAGTTGTGGGCTGTTGTGCCTCAGCGCAGCCTTTTTGTGTCCTTCCACCTTGAATGGAATGAAATCACCTAATTAAAATACTTTTAGACCAAAAACTTTATCACAGAACTACTGTAAAGCAATGTCTCAGACATCAGACTGGGTGTTCATAAGCGTTTCATGTAGTAACTTTCTCTAAAATCCTCAGATGTCTGGTTCCTATCAGCACTGTGACCAATTCTGACTTGGTAGGTTTCTCTAGAACGAAGCGTTCCACACCAAACCACTCTGAAGGACTTTGTAGACATGTTAACCATTCAATTATGGAGGAAATTTGAAAAAATTGGTGGAGTTTCCCTTTAGCAAGTGGTTTAGAGTACATTTAGAATGCATTTAAAGTATTGGGGGGGGGGGCACTGTTCACTGTGTTTACTCATTGACAGCTTTCTTCATGCACTTCTTCTGTTCATGCATGTTATGGAAATTTCGCAAATAATTGGAATGAAGATTCAAAATTCTCCTTCTTTCCCCCTCTTTTCGTCTGTTTCCACCCCCCCCCCGTCTGTCTCGTGAACTAACCAAAAGACCCTCAACCTATACACTCATCTTTTGTGCTTTGTGGGTTGTCACAAGCCTCCTAAATGCAATTGTGTTAAAACTGTGTATAATGTAGTGTTTTTTGACCCTGGAACACAACTGACCTCTGTGATGTACTCTTGCTATGTCCAGCGGATTTCCAGTCCTGTTAGTTTTGAGAACTGAAAAGTCCATTAGCACAAACTAAACTATAGAAGCAAAGAGGTTAAAGAAGTCTATGAGCTAAGAAAACTCACCATAACGTTGTTCTGTAACGTTGTTTAGGATTCGCCGTGATGTTAAAACGAGTGCCAACAAATACGGTAATGGTGGTTCACCACAGAGCTGGCATAAGTCCGCCTGTTATTAGTTTGGACATTGTTTTAAATTTGGTCCTGCACAGAGTTAAATCCACCACTTTTTCAGCAGATGCTCAAGATGGCATCTAAAAAACACTTTCCTTAGTACTTTAAACATTCTGACCACTGGTTTTTGAGAGCTTTGTCCGAGTTTTTCCTTCACTTCACAGAGGAAGTAACACTTAGAAACGGTTAGCACTTAGACATGTCAGTCACTGAGTGCATTTACATGCACGTAACAGTCTGATGACTGCAGAAAATCAGATTTTGTCAGTAATCCGATCGACGCGTTTATATGCACTTGAGTAATCAGACAATAATAAAACTCTGGGTCTGCATGAGTCAGACAGTAATCAGATTTCTGCTTTGCAAACAACCAATAAACTCACAGATTAAGACTTGATATAATGTAAACTCCAACTTTTTGAAACATCGCGCCGCTTTACCTGAAAATATGAACAAACATCATCTAGAAGATGAAGAATATTTAAATCCTTTATTTCATGTTTGGTTTCAGCGCCGCTGAAAGTGTTTTGCTGCGTCTCGTGGCGACGCTGCTCGCTTATTGCCGGTAACGCTGTCTGTTTTCACATATGCAGACTGAGAAATCTGAAAGAAATCAGAGTAAGAGTTTACAGCACTGAGAAATCTGATTACTGAGTTAAAATCCAGCCTCTTTATCGGATTCCTTAATCGGATTTCTAGATCGGAGTATGGTGTTTACATGACCATTTGAATAATCGGATAACTGCAGAAATCCGATTATCATCGGATTATTGAGTGCATGTATACACACTTATTGTTTTGCAAATGGTCAATTATGCACTGTTTTTTTCAGGAAAAGTGGGACAGTGCTTTAGACCTATAATAAACGCAACGTCATACACCGATCAGGCATAACATTATGACCACCTCCTTGTTAGTGTGTGTTGTGCTGGTCTGAGTGGATCAGACACAGCAGTGCTGCTGGAGTTTTTAAACACTGTGTCCACTCACTGTCCACTCTATTAGACACTCCTACCTTGTCAGTCCACCTTGTAGATGTAAAGTCAGAGACGATAGCTCATCTGCTGCTGCACAGTTTGTGTTGGTCATCCTCTAGTCCTTCATCAGTGGTCACAGGACGCTGCCCACAGGACGCTGTTGGCTGGATATTTTTGGTTGGTGGACTATTCCCAGTCCAGCAGTGACACTGAGGTGCACTCAGGTGACACAGCAGCAGCACTGCTGTGTCTGATCCATTCAGACCAGCACAACACACACTAACACACCACCACCACATCAGTGAGGGTCCATGGGGGTCCTGACCACTGAAGAACAGGTTAAAAGGGGGCTAACAAAGTATGCAGAGAAACAGATGGACTACAGTCTGTAACTGTAGAACTACAAAGTGCACCTATATAGTAAGTGGAGCTGATAAAATGAGTGTAGAAACAAGGAGGTGCTCATTATGTTATGCCTGATCAGTGTATCTACTCAGGCTTTAGCAGGAGTGAGTGTTTGCTACACACTGAGTCCCGATGTAAAGTCGGTAAACAAGCATTGATGGTCTTTTATTTAGCAGATAAGTATTCTAAAAGTATTTTCCCAAAAATATAAAAAGTCTCTTGTATTCTCTTGTGGCTACATGTCTTTATGTTAGCTTTCACTTGTAAAAGTTTTTGGTTGTTCTGATACATTATTGATCACAGAATTAAACTCAAACATCCTAAAATGGCAGTTCAGAGTAATTGCAAAATGAATGTCTTTTGGAGAAAGTGGTAGACCATGCATGGCCCGATTGCTCACGTATTGCTTAATGGGTGCGTACTGTACTTTTTCAACAGGCTTAAAACCAGTTGCAACATTTTCTGGATTAAGTAAGTATAAATACAGAGACAGGCTTTCGGTTGTTTCACCTGCTCTTCGTATTTCTTGCAGGGAATATGTAACATATGCAACAAGCGTCAACATGACATCCAGATTCAGTAAAACCTACACTCGGAAGGGAGGGGAAGCCAACTCGAAGTTTGAGGAGGTATTCGCTAATAAGAAGACCCTCAGCACCAAATGGGGAGAGACAACGTACAAGGCTCAGCTTGGGACCAAGCGACCCACGTACAAACCCGAGCTGCCGGACTTGGTAAAGAGACCCCGCTTCGAGGACGACGACAGCTCAGAGGACCCGTTCGGCTTCGACAGTGATGACGAGTCCAAGACCGTCACGTCCAGAGGGACCCCTCAGTCGGACACAGGCTCTGATGTGGCAGGCTCCTGGAATGAGCAGCCCAAGGCTCCGTTTGAGAAGCAGACCCATGGTGGTGCCGTGGCCAGTGGAGGCACATCGGTTTTGGGGAGCAATGTGAGCAGGAGCCTTGTGGGCTCTAACAGCACAACTGCAGGTAAGATCTATTAGACCTTGCTCCATAGGAAAGTCGGTTTACTTGACGACCATCTTTGCGGTGCTGCTGGGCAGTTATTTCCAGCCTTACAAGACCAGGAGCCGTATTACCGAAACTTCCTATCTTTTTGTCGTAAGATTTGCCAGGTTAAGGTAAAATTTTTCACAAATTCATATTACAGAAGCAAATTTTATCCTGATTTAAGAGTCTTATCTTACAGCATGTTATCTCCAGGGTATATTTTGGTTTTTCCATCTGAATTTACATGCCCAAATTGTAAGAGAAATTATTCAGTAACTGCATGAAATTAATGTAAATTTTTATTTTATTTATTTATTTTTTTTTTTTTTTTTTGGTAAAAGCTCCTGTGATTGTAAGCATATAGCAATATGATCAAAAACATATTGCTATATGCTTACAATTTACTGCTGAAAGCCAAAAATCTGAGACGCGCTTTGTATTTTTTTATAAAAATAATTTTTACAGTGCAAATCACTGAAGAGACGACATCTGAGATCCAGTTTGTAGCTCAGATTTGTGGAAAAATGGGTCGACTTTCAGTAAAAACAAAATTGTGAGTTCAGCTTGTTTTATTATGAAGTTTTAAAACTACATTACCCATCTATTTGACTGGAAAGAAGACAGTTACAGCTCTCATACGACCCCCACCTTTTGAATGAAGCCTATGAAATATGAAAGTTATGAAGAATATGACGAAGTGCGTTTTGGAGCCACCGGTGGCCTCAAGGAGCTGAAAAGGTTAAGAAATCTTAACTTACTTGATCGAAGTCCACAATCAACTGTCATGTGTGTTACCTAGCAACCAGCTATACATGCACAGCTGAAACGTAAACATGTAATCAAAATAATCAAGCTAGTTAGCCAGACAGCTAACATTAGCTACCATTACTGATTTAAAAAGGTCAAACAAAACTGAAGCGCGATAAACATGAAGTGAAGAGTATTGTAACAGCTGTTTATCAGAGCGTCGCTGCTCCACAGTTTCAGTCTCCATTTCCCAAACGCTTTAGCGGAGCGCACTAACGTTATTCCTCCTAATAAACAGACACACGTTCAGCTCCGTCTCCTCATTATTCACCAACATGAAAATAAGTCTACTATTAAACTTCAACACTGTTACATACTAGTACTACCAGCAAACTGCTGCCAAACCAGCATTACACAACTTGACCTGCCTTTTGTTGCCCCTGTCCCAACTTTTTTGATACGTGTTATTTTTCAAAAAATAATAAAATTTCTTAGTTTCAACATTTGATTTGTTGTCTTTGTACTATTTTCAATTAAGTATTGGGTTTAAATGATTTGCACATCATTGCATTTTGTTTTTATTTATATTATTTGTACAGCGTCCCAACTTTTTTGGAAATGGATTGTAAAAAATCTACTTATTGTAGCTTCTGATTTTCCAAAGAGTTTCCAGCATGCTTAATGTTTGCTATTACAGGAGTTGTTCCTTAGAATGAGTTCCTAGAACTTGCCTTCCATCTCAGGATCGTTAAAATGTGATTTAATCTATATCCAGTGGCATTCTGGATGTGGAGATCATTATACTTCTCATTTTGATGCTCTGCAAGCTGTTTTTCCTTCAAAAGAGAAAGGAGCGGTTTAATTTCATTGTTAGCATGTAGTAATTTGTTAAAGAAAAATCATTAAGATAGTTGGAAAGTACTTCACAGCTCTGTGAAAGTTTTCTTAACTCTTGTCTGTTTATTGTGATTCTGCTGTCTGATGTGACGCAGAGGAGGATGAGTGTTTATTTCGAGTCTTGGGTATTCTTTGTAAAGCTGCTTTGTGACAGTGTTTGCTTGCTCTACAAATACAGTTGAATTTGATTAGGGAGGTCCACTTATTTATTGGAGAACGATAAGCAAGGTAGTCTTTAAAAAGACTTCATCAGAAAATACAGGGTGATTGAAAAAGGTTTTTTCCGATTTCAAAGTCATTTAATTTTTTCCAACCATCACATTTTTCCAACCGTGAGGCGCCTAGGAACCAATCACAATCCAATTGAAAGAGGGGGTCATAGAGTTTCTGACTGTCAGTGGAAGATGACTCCCTTCAGTCTGAGAGGAGATGTCGGCAGAAAGCGTTCTGCGTTCTCCACTTCAATAAGAGTGAATCCGTCATAACTGTGCAGAGTGATTTTCATGGGCAGTGAAGCTCCAACAGCTCAGAGCGTTCGTCGTTGGTTCCACAGCACTGGATGATCTCCGAAATCGCACTGAAAGAGCCGTGAGTGCAGCGACACCCGACACGCTCAATCCAGTATGGGATGAGTTTGACTATGGCGTTGATGTTGTCTGTACAGCTGGAGGAGGTTCATACTGAGACCTTGTACAATTACATAATAAACTTTATGCTCATTTAAACCATTTACAGTTCACTGCATTGATCTGTAATGATTGACAAGTGAAATAAATCATTTTGAAATCGGATGAATCTTCTTGAATCACCTTGTGTATAAAATAACAAAAATGGGTGTTGCATTTACTGTAAAAGGTAAGATATATATTGTAATACATGTTGCCAACAAATCACTGACTGTTTGTGTAATTTTGATTTTTTTTCAGTCAAATTATTGAGTTTAATTGAGTAATTGTAACAGCTGTAGCTTGAATTTTCATTGAAAGTAATCCAACCTTCCTTTCTCCCAGTCAAGCCTCTGCAAACCTCATCAAATTCAAGCGCTGGAGTTGCCTGGTACAAGTCATCGAGCACAACAAGCAAACCCATCTCTCAGTACATTTTAAAAACATCTGCTAGAGACTCTTCAGACTGGGACTCTCCTGGGGAGGATTCTCCATCAGAGGCTGGAGAGGGAGCATCCACACAAACTTTTGATACCTCGGACACCCTAAAAACGGCCGAGCAAGGCCCTGGAGAGGTGGAGCCTCCCCATGAGAAGCCCGTCGATTTTGAACAGCTCCCTCTCCTCAAACCATCCAGTGACAGGGTTTATCGACGGCCCAGTCGGAACAGAGAACATCCAGAGAGTTCTGGAACCGCCGAGACGTCAGCAGGGGTCGGGGCAAGTATATCAGCCGTTGCGCCAGTCAACAGCTCCAGCAGTACTGGAGCGGCCAGTAGTTCACAGGTCAAGCCTGCTGCAGGCCGGGGCAGGGTGAGGGACTACACGGTGCTGCACCCGTCGTGTGTGTCGGTGTGTAATGTCACCATCCAGGACTCAATGGACAGGAGTATGGATGAGCTTGTGAACACAACCCCTGCAGATCTAGGAGAGGCTGGAACTTTCCGGAGGAAAGCAGATTCACAAGCTGCCAAACCCACCAGGTAACACACATTTGCATTCAGATCAGCAGCTATTTGTCGCTGATTGTGAAATCAATAGCAACCTCATAGTTATACTCTTAACAACCTAGCAACCACCTAACAACTGCCTATTAATACCCTAGCAACCACCTGGAATACCACGTCAATTGATTTGCAACCACTTGCAATGCAATAGCAACTGCCTAGCAACACCCTAGCAACCACAGTACGACTGCCTGAGGTGCCATTGAGACCAACTATCAGCTCCCTACAAACCACTTGCAATGCTGTAGCAACTGCTTAGCAACACCCTAGCAACACCCTAGCAACCACATTGCAACTGCCAGAGGTACCATTGAGACCAACTATCAACTCCTTAAAAACCACTTGCAATGCCATAGCAACTGTTTAGCAACACCCTAGCAACCACGTTGCAACTGCCTGAGGGACCATTGAGACCAACTGTCAGCTCCCCAAAAACCACTTGCAGTGCCGTAGCAACTGCTTAGCAATTGCCTAGCAACAACCTAGCAACCACCCAGAATACTATAGAAACTAGCCATAACATGCAACCAACTAGAATATTATAGTATCCACCTTGGTATCTACATAACCCACATAAGTGGTTTTCCGTGTTAGCCAAGCAAGTTGGTCAGTTAATCATTAGCCTTACATTTGACAGCCCAGACATTCTTGCAGTAGACATTTATTATACAATACTATATTAAACAAGTTGTACTGTTTTGTTTTCATAAACACACATTATGTATGAAGTCACACTCGGCCATTAACTGTGGTGATGCTGAATTTTGCTAATGTAGCACAAACATTTGCAGCTCCTTTTCATGTATTCACATGTATTTTCTCTCTCTCTCTCTCTTGCGCTTTCCCAGGTTTCGGCCCACACAAACTAAGAGTAAGAAGGAGACCAAACTGGAATTTTTTGGTTTCGAGGAAAATGAGGGTCAGGAAACAGATGGAGAGCCTGGTGCCTCTGGCAGCACCAGCTACAAGATCAAATACTTTGGTTTTGATGACCTCAGTGAGAGCGACAGTGAGGATGAGGAGGATGCGGCACCTAGAGAGAGGAAAAAGGCCAAGAAAGCTGTGTCAGAGGCTCTGGCGGCTGGAGTGGACAGCCCACAGACCAGTGACTCACAGGAGAGTCAGACCAGCACTAATGCAGGTATGCACTCTCTCTCTCTCTCACACATACACACACACACACACACACACACACAGGGGGTATCATTGCGCTCTTGTGGAGTTATAATGGATTATACAGCAGTTAGTTCCAGCCACGCATTCTCATTGGTTGAGAAGCGTTCTAACCGTGCTTTTATTTTGCCGTAACAGCTCGTTTTTTCACAAACACTGTATCACTCCGCTTTGACAGCTGTAGGAGAAGCTGAAGCCATTTGAACAGAAAATGGACACTTTTAAGATCACATTTGACCAACCGCCGATTTGGTCAGACTCTGAAGATGAGACGACACTAAATTCCCAAACTGTCATCACCACTGAGCAGCTTTTCAGTCGGCAGCTGTGACAGAAGAACAGCTAAACAACCTGGAATCAGCCAGAAATGAACCCAACACCATTCGCCAAACTAAATGGGCTGTAAGATGCTTTACAGACTGGCTGGAACAAAACAACATTAATACTGATCTGGCAGAAACTGACAAAACTGAGCTGAACTTGATATTGTGGCAGTTTTACGGCTCAGTCTGTACTTCAAAAGGCGAGGCTTACACAGACTGTGCAGCGAGTGGGCGGAGTTCGTTATTCTGACGTAGCAACAAGCTGCTTGTTAAGGAACTATAATTTGGTGAAGGAACTGCGAACATTAAAACATATTAAACGCCGCGTTCACGGCCCAGTTTATTAATTTATTACTTTATTTATTTAACTGTTGTATTAAAGCAATAGAACATTCCAGGTCCTGTCTTATCGCTATAACATCACCTGCTGTGATGATCTGCGACCAAATCACAGCCGTGATATTATTTTGCGATAACATACTCCGTCTGTGTTCTGTTGCTTAAAAGGAACACATGTAGGAAGGATGTATGTTAGTTTGTATGTTGTTTTATTGGTAAAACAAGCTATTAAAATCATAATTATCAAATGATAAAAAATACCGCAGAAAGCAATAAATGTGTCAAATCGCTGTTGTCATGAAGTCGGGCTGTTTTGTAGATACTTAAATCCATCTCGGGCAGCAGTGTCAACACCTTTTTGTTCAAACCTCGCATCAAAACCAATGACATTCTGCTGTTCGGTAGAAGACTGTTCCACCAAAAAATTTGAAAATTAAGCATGAGAGCCAGCATAGTGTATGTACATTAGAGATAGTTCGCCTCTTTCATAGTTAGGCTTGGTCCTCGGTTTCTGGGCCACAGTTTGGTTTGTATCACAGGTGGACTACATTCCGTGATTGTAGGACTACAAAGAGCACCTACACCAGACATAACATTATGACCACCGCCTTGTTTCTACGCTCATTGTCCATTTTATCAGCTCCACTTACTATATAGGTGCACTTTGTAGTTCTACAGTTACAGACTGTAGTCCATCTGTTTCTCTGATACTTTGTTAGCCCCCTTTTACCCTGTTCTTCAGTGGTCAGGACCCCCATGGACCCTCACAGAGCAGGTACTATTTGGGTGGTGGATCGTTCTCAGCACTGCAGTGTCACTGACGTGGTGGTGTGTTTGTGTGTTGCGCTGGTGCGAGTGGATCAGACAGTTTTTAAACACTGTCCACTCTATTAGACACTCCTACCTTGTCAGTCCACCTTGTAGATGTAAAGTCAGAGATGATAGCTCATCTGCTGCTGCACAATAAAATACAGATGGGTCATTCTACAGAAACGTCCATTTTTATGTCCCAGCATTTACAGTTGTATTACACTTGAAAAACATGTTAGGGTTACAATTTATTTGTATTTTACAATAAAATTGTTATTTTAACAATTACTCCTTCTTGAGCCTCAATTTAGCAATATTGGTTTCTAATTCAAACATGTAGAATTCCAAGCAGCACAGAAGAGCTGCTCCTCACAGTCATGTGTGAAGGCTGAGGCCATATTTTGAGGTAAAAAACACGTTTTTCTGCAATTTTAACTGCAATAATCTATACATGACTATAAAATGTATGATTTAGATGACAAAGAAAACAAATGCTAAATAAATATTGTAAAATATATAATGAACGTCCCCAGGAGTCGTGACACTGGTGTTACTGCGTAACAAAAAATCTCTTATTTTGAAATAAAAGTCACACTGATGACATCACTCGACTTCCTTTTACCTGTTTTCTGAGGATCTATGAAGAAAAGCACATGGTGAGTCCACTGTGTCTTTCAGTTATCAGAGATTTTCTCATTTAGCTCATGATTTCATATGAAGCTTTTAGCTGAAGTCACTGGTGTGACCGACTTTATTCTGAGGTAACTGTGAAGAAATAAAATACAAAATGGATTAAATTCCATATTTTAGTGGATATTCCATAATTGACATGTGGTTTGATGCTTTGTAGCAGCCATTTTTTAAAATGCATTTTTCATTAAAAACGTCTCTGGTGTTACTTTTCTTATGTGTAACACCAAGGAGGATCGGTAACACCAGTGACACCTGTGGAGAGATAGAAAAGTGGACGTTTTGGTAGAGTGACCCAGATATTTTAGTATAGCAGTCAGGCGTTGCCTACGCAGTCTGCTTACAGTCGTTTTGAGATAACGGTAAATGTTAGACTATCGACTATTTTACCGATTAGTCAAGTCCCCACGAAACAAAATGTGCTGGCAGTTATGACAGAAATAAAATAATTAGATAAGGTACACGTCCCATCAAGCCCAATGTGCACCAACACACTCTGGCACTGTCAGTCCAACGTTGAATAAGCCCAGATTCTAGCCTAAACATATTCTCAAACACTTATTCAGTGGAAATTCTCAGGTAGCAGGCAGACGACTTCTGGTCTTTAATAATGAGTATATTTAGCAGCTTCAAGGACAACAGATTTCAAAAAGCTTTCCCTACTAATTTAATGTGAATAGACAAACACAGAGGCTTTATGGCTTTAATATTGAGTGTATTTTGCAGCTACAAGGACAACAGATTTTAAAAAGCTCTCTACTAATGTAATAAACATGAATAGACAAGCACTTAGTGGTTTTGCTTGTCCATCATCCAGAATAGCACCTGTGTGTTTTCTCTTCAGGTGCTTTTGCATCGCACTAGTGCTGCTGTGGTACACGATGCTAAAGATGGCTTGCTGTTCACCAGCTTCTTGTTCAGATTTTCCCGTTCCACCTTAAATGCTGCTGCAGTTATTATTATAACACCTCAGATGCCAGAATGTGACTGCTGCACTGTTTAAGGTGGAATGATGAGATTCAAATAAGAAGCTGACTTGGCTTTGTCTGTGGTATGGCATCGAAACTTTGCACAATGTACAAACTAGGGCTGGGCAATTAATCGAGAAGTAATCAAAACCGACATTCAGAGCCTCTAACCGACGTAGTTATTTCAGTTTTTTTTTTTTTTTTATTCTGTTAATCCTTTTCCCACTCTGTGTGTTCATGTACTGTTCCCTTTAAAACTTACTACCACACCTGTGGTCACGTGACTCCGCCACGTCCACTCTGCAACATGGAACCTACGGCTACGTTCACACAGCAGGTAAAAGTGGCCCAAATCTGATTTTCTCTCCAAATCTGATTTTTTTGTTTGGCTGTTCAGATTATCTTTTAAATGTGATCTGTATGGGTCATCAGTCTGAACAGATCAGCTCCTAAACTGACCCACATGCGCAAAAGAACAGAGCTTCACGCGGCTCAACCAGAGGTAAACAATCAGGACTATGAACGCCAGTCGCTCCCGGAGGATCAGCTTCATCTTCACCAGCATCACAGGAGCCATCATGAAGCTTCACTGACTGACCGCTGGGCTCATCACCCAGAATGAGTTTGAGCCGTAAAAAGGGCGCGGTCACTTCTTTGGTTCGTGTCCTCGGATTCTTTAAACTCTGCTTTCAGACTTTTAACTGTTCTTTGACGCTGCAGCCTCGTTCTCCTGCGGCCGCGTTCGGGCATTTCTTTCTAAATCTCTTCAAACACAGTTTTGGATGAGTCTCTTCTAATTTTTGGACAGAAATATCACCCCAAATGTTTATAAGGTCTCAACAGTGCGAAATTATGACGAATGTGGAGTTGGATTGACGTAAAAGACGCTTCAGTTCCGATCTGACTGTTGAGATGATTTGCCTTAAGATACGCAGAGCATATTTACAGTACAAACCTTGTCAGTGAACCATGAGAGCAAAAAAACAAACATACAAAAAAAACAACAAAATAATCGTTCATTAATCGTAATCGAGGTAGAATATTCAAATAATCATGATATTGATTTGAGGTCATATCGCCCAGCACTAGTACAAACCACCTTTTTGTTTTGTGCTAATTTGAAATATACCCATACTTTGGACACCTTGGATCTTTGGAAACTTGTAGAAACCTCTTCCACAACCTAGCTGGACTCTGCTGCAGCCACCATGATTGTTTAGGGTAAATACGTAAAAATAATACTAAATTTTTAAAGATTTAAAATATTTATATCGATGCATTTTCAGCGTTGATGTCATGGATTACATTGACTAAACACAGCCGCTTTATGTTTATTTGAATTTTAAAATTTTCTTTCGAGCGAACATTTACTGGTACCAATATGAATCAGATATTGTGCACAGCTATTTTTAGTCATGTATTTATGAAATTTTGGGTGACTATAGACCAGAGTATGTGAGAGGGGAGCGGAGAGTGTCTGTGTTGTCTCTCACACATACTGGAAATTCTTACTGATCACCAAAAGGTTTTACAGATATTACATACAATTGGTCTTGTCATTTACGTTCCTGTGTAAATGTTAACATTAAAAGGATATGCATTTGTTTACCCTTTCGACTCGTGATTGGGCCAATGTTCAGGGCTGTACCTCCTGAAAAAGCCTGTGTAGCACAACGTGTTTAACTAGGTTTTGCTTAATAACAGCCATAAATTGTAATTCTTAGTGCTTAGTGTCTTGTCCATACATTGAAAACATCGAATTCTCTAAGAATGAATCATATGGAGCGGAAACAGGGTGGGTTTTCTCTGGTGTGTGAGCGAGCAAGGAGTGGAGCGATTACAGAATGCTTTTAGGGAGGATCAGAAATGTCTGCCACTCCCCTCACATAATCTGCTATAGACTTGTTTGTTAACCTTGGGTCTTCAGTGCAAAACTAAAGCAACAAATTTAGATTAAAACATGTCTTGGCTGATCAACTACATTTTTCATAAGCAGGGAAAATGTGTAAATGTGTGTTTTTGTTTTTCCACTGAATCATTTTGAAGTATTTTGAAGTGCAGAGTTGATCAGATGTGTTATACAGACTTTTCCCCTTCCACTTTTTCAGATTCTCAGGAGTGGCTGGAGGAGTCGGGCTCTGCTGGCTACAACTCGCAGAAAGAACGAGGAGGAAAACAGACGGATAAGGCGAAAGAAATCAGCCGCAAAATCTTCAGCGGACCTAAAAAGGTACAGCCGTGGAAACCACCATCCTGCTAAGCGTTTGTTCAGCCCCAGGACGCACAGCCAGAGAACTTGTAGAGAGGAGAATTCCCACTCTGCAGTGTCTTCTGGGTTTCTCAAGCACTAGAGGGCGCTCCCGAGCGAGTCCAGAATGAATGGGTTGATATGGAGCATTTGAGCAAAATCATAGTTTAGAAATGCTGAAACATTTTTAATGTAAATGAATAAAATCATTTCCTGAAAACAGAACAGCGTAAAACATTTTAACACTGCTGTTATATTTTTAAGAGCTTTTAAACTCGAGTTATAGGAGTTTAAAACGGCACCTCGTGTATGTCCGTGACGTCAGTGAGCGCGAACAGCCAAAGAGCTGCTCCGCTCGCCAATCAATCATCACTCTCTAGCATAATGCCCGCCTTCTGCTGCCCAAAACCCGTTTGCTGTAGAAAAAAGAAAAGATATGGGTAAGATTTCTTTGTTTTTTTAGTGAAATACATCCTTCTACTTTCTAAAATTAAAGGAAAGTTCTGGGCGAGTGATTAGAAACTAGTTTTTCGTTTTTAGCCGTTGAGTGCTGTTTACTGCCATTCATCGAGGACTCCCTCGCGAGTGCCCTCTGCTGTTTAGCAGTCCTGTTTTTGATATAACAGGGGGAATAGGAAGTGGCCAGACTCCTCATAAACCGGCTTTGGCACAGCCATATGTTCATATGCTCCTGGAGACCTTGAGAGTCAAGGTCTTGACAAATGTATTAGATAAGGGCTGGATCTGTAGGACAGTGCATGTCCACAGTTGGTCCCCCCGAAGTACTACTTGTAAAGGCAACCATTGAAATATTTTCAGCTTGATGTCATTTGGTATTTTGTGCTAGTCCTAAGCACAATGTTCTAGATGTGGTTGCGTGAAACTTCATTAACTCTTAACATTTTCTGTTACATTTATGTTGTGGAATTTGCCTCCTACCTCCATCAGATATGCTCATCATCTTCTTTGATGGATAACATCATGCCTTGCCATGAATTATAAGCATAATTGCAAGCATTTTTCTTCATTATTGTGATATTTTAGCATCTGTTTATATAATGTTTGTTGTGTACGTGTCGTTGCTGTCCGAAAAAATGTTTTTGTTTTTCTACTTCATTGGAGCCTGTAAAGTAGCCATTTTCAAGATACTAGTTTTTTTGGATAGCGACAATGTGTTATTATAATAATAATAATAATAATAATAATAGTTTTTAAAGCAAATTCCAATAATTCAACTAAATAATTCAAATGAAAACAAAGCCGTTCAGAGTAGTTGGATGTGAAAATGCTCTGTTATAGAAAAACTTACAGACTCCTCACAAAAAGTCTGAGGCTCAGATAATTCTGAGATATGATTATGTTCTAAAACATACACTTATTGTGGAGGTGTACATGCAGAGCACTGGAAGGCGAAATAGTGTTTTGTTTTGTTTTTTCTCCCCCAAATTTACCACTAATTTACCATTATGAACGTTGTCTGTAGAAACTTAGAAGACATGCATCTTTGGTTGTTTTGGATAGTTAATAAAATGGCTATATATGCATTGTTGACATCACAGTCCCTGGTTTCTGTCACTTCCACTTCAAAATAGTCTAATGTTAGTAACCATTTCACGTTAAACCACACTGAATGACTCTCACGTCTCAATTATTGAATCAAGCAGAAACTGTTTGTTACCTGTTCAGGTTGAACATTTGGAGTTTCTCAGACCAGTTTTTGGGCTACAAAATAAAGTTCCTTTTTCTCTGTTGTAAAAAGTCATTACCTGCAGGCTCCAGTTCAGTCAAAATGAAAGAATTGCAACACCATTAGTATCATTTTTCATGTTTATTCTCTATATTTTTCATTTTTATTACCTCTCAGTTTGAATTTGCATGAAGTGCAGTAATGAGAAGCTGCAAAATCCCATCTTATTTGATGGCTTAATTTGTGGAGATATTATAGTCTGAATATTTCTCTGTGTGTGTGTGTTTCAGTCTCCTGCTAAGGCAGTGTATAATGCTCGTCACTGGAACCAGCCTGAACCGGAGGATGTGCCCCCTCCTGCGCCCACCCGCACTGTTGTTGCACCAGTACGTACCGACTTCTGACTTGTCCACTTTATCTATACACCGATCAGGTATAACATTATGACCACCCCCTTGTTTCTACACTCATTGTCCATTTTATCAGCTCCACTTACTATATAGGTGCACTTTGTAGTTCTACAGTTACAGACTGTAGTCCATCTGTTTCTCTGATACTTTGTTAGCCCCCTTTTACCCTGTTCTTCAGTGGTCAGGACCCCCATGGACCCTCACAGAGCAGGTACTATTTGGGTGGTGGATCATTCTCAGCACTGCAGTAACACTGATGTGGTGGTGGTGTGTTAGTGTGTGTTGTGCTGGTCTGAGTGGATCAGACACAGCAGTGCTGCTGGGGTTTTTAAACACTGTGTCCACTCACTGTCCACTCTATTAGACACTCCTACCTTGTCAGTCCACCTTGTAGATGTAAAGTAAGAGACGATAGCTCATCTGCTGCTGCACAGTTTGTGTTGGTCATCCTCTAGTCCTTTATCAGTGGTCACAGGACGCTGCCCACAGGACGCTGTTGGCTGTATATTTTTGGTTGGTGGACTATTCTCAGTCCAGCAGTGACACTGAGGTGTTTAAAAACTCCAGCAGCACTGCTGTGTCTGATCCACTCAGACCAGCGCAACACACACTAACACACCACCACCACCACATCAGTGTTACTGCAGTGCTGAGAATGATCCACAACCCAAATAGTAACTGCTCTGTGAGGGTCCATGGGGGTCTTGACCACTGAAGAACAGGGTAAAAGGGGGCTAAGAAAGTATCAGAGAAACAGATGGACTACAGTCTGTAACTGTAGAACTACAAAGTGCACCTATATAGTAAGTGGAGCTGATAAAATGGACAGTGAGCGAAAAAACAAGGAAGTGGTCATAATGTTATGTCTGATCGGTGTAGTCTATAGTTTGTGAGACCTTTAATGTTTAGCATTCTTCCTCACTAAAAACAACTGAATTCATCAGCTAATTGGCAAGTCATTCATGAGTTGAATTCAGAGTGTTACAGAAGGTAGAGCATCAATCTCTGCAGAGCTGTGACCCGGAAAGAAACCAGTTTGACACTCCTGCTCTGCACAGTTAATCTACAATAAGACACCTCATTGTAAACTTCAGTCAGTATAGATTAAAACATTTCCCTATACAGTCAGTAAGGAGGTATTGGCTACCTTGAGGCCATGTACAAATGTCCAGTTAGTAATACTATCATTATCATACATATCCTAGCAATGAAAAAACTGATGAAAATGTACCAGTTTTACCTACATAAGGCAATAAGAAGGATCTTGCTGTCATGAGAATGAAGAAATCTTTTTCAACCAACCTTTTGTACTTTGAGTTAGTCTGAAATACAAAATAGGACAAAGTTTATTATATTTAAACATTTCGATTAGCCACAGATACTTTTCAGAAACGCATCTTACATATATGTGTATTACTTTTCCTAGAAGCCCAGTGTAAGTGCAAGCAAAGAAGCAAATTCCTTCAAAGATGATGGAGTGTTCAAAGCCCCTCCCCCTCCTCCAAAAGTCATCAAATCCGTGACGGTCCCCACCGAGCCCTACCAGGATATCGTCACTTCGCTCAAGTGCAACAAAGAGCACAAGGAGGTGAGCAGTTTTGTACATATGCTGTTTATTGCATAGCTATTACATATAGTGCAGCAAAATAAGTGATCCGTACCTGATAGTCCAGTTAATTTTACTTTGTGTTTTGCAACCCTGTTTTCAAAAAAAGTTGGGGATGCTGTGCAAAATAAAACTGAGGCCAATGATGTGCAAACCACTTAAACACTATATTTAATTTGAAATTGGATGTGTTGTCTCTGTACTGTGTTGAAATCTGAATTTTTTATTTTTATTTAAATACATATCAATTTTGAATTTAATGCCAGCAACACATTTTTAAAAAGTTGGGAAGGGGGCATGGTTACCACTGTGTTGCCTCACCTCAGTGTTTGGGAACTGAGGAGACCAGTTGTTGTAGTTCTGAAAGTGAAATGTTTTCCCAGCTTTGCTTGATACAGGGATTCAGCTGGTCAAACTTTTGGGGTCTCCTTTGTTGTATTTTTCATTTCATAATGCAGGCAGGCCAGTTTAGCACCCTCTTTTACTACGGAGCCAGGCTGTTGTTTTGTGCAGAATATGGTTTGGCACTGTCCTGCTGAAATAAGCAAGGCTTCCCTGAAAAAGACATTGTCTGATAGTGAATATGTTACTAAAAAAAACTGTGTATCGTTCAGAAGTAATGGTGCCATCACATCACATTACCCCTGCCATGTGCGCTAATGCCCCCCTATACCATCATGAATACTGGCTTTTAACAAATACTGGCCTTTAATAACAAGCTGAGTGGTCTTTAGCCTGGAGGACACAGTGTCCATGATTTCCAAAGAGAATTTCAAATGTTGATTCGTCAGACCACAGGACACTTTTCCACTTCGCCTCAGTCCATTTTAAATGAGCTTGGGCCCAGAGAAGGCGGCAGCATTTCTGGATCCTATCTATATGTGGTTTCTTCTTTGCATAGTTTTAACTTGGATTTGTGGATGCAGTGACGAACAACCAATGTGTTCTTTTTTTGAAACACATTGCTGGCATCAGATTCAAAATCGGCATATATTTCTCAAAAAACAAGAACGTTTCTCACTGTCAACATTTGATATGTTGTCTTTGTACTATTACGAGTCAAATATAGTTAAAATGATTTGTGCATCATTGCAATCTTTTTTATTTTACATTTTGCACAGCGTCCCAACTTTTTTTGGAGAGTTATAGATGTCTAACATACCATCGCATGACATACAAAACAATATCTCGCCTGGTTTGCCCTCCAAAAGGTCACTTTTTGCGTAAATATTTTGTTACATAACTCAAGACACAATATCAACTGCTTATGTCTGTACACCCCGTAGTTCTACATTGTACGCTCAGTCAAAAATTGAACATTTAAAACACTGAACATTTAAAAATGACAACAAAAGATAACATTAAATGGGTGTAATAATGTTGAAACTGCTGTTACAAAACAAATCATAGACGCGCCAGAAGGTAGTTTAGAAGGTAGATCACATGATGCCTTTCGAGCAAGTGTTCCACATTTGTTCTAAAAGTTTGCAAATGCATCCAGATTATCCAGATGTGTCAGTATGTGTAATCACAGCTGGAGGATATACTCTCTATAAACACAGACAATTTGCTTCACTCCCCTTTCCCTGGTTCTCAGGAAATTGATGTTACACATAAGGCTGCACTGAAATGGAAAATCTGATATTTTTCCATTGCCAAAGCCACTGAAAATGTAGGAATTGGGATTAAATCCACCTGGATTAGCATTATAGAACAATATATTTGCAGTAAAATGAATAAAATGCAGATATTTTAGCACAGTTGCCCTGCATTACCTAAATAGTCTGCTCTTCTGAAGAACAACAAAAACTAATATGTTGAATATCTACTTGAAATATTGGTGAAACAAACATTTTTAGGTAGGTAAAAACATTTTGTGAAATGTTTGTTGTCAACTTTTTATTTTGCTGTGAAACTGAACATTTTTGCACTCATTGAGAGATTAATCACATGTTTTTTGTTTGTAGCTGTATACAGTAGTCCAGCATGTGAAGCACTTTAATGACGTGGTGGAGTTTGGGGAGAATCAGGAGTTCACTGATGACTTTGAGTATCTGGAGACCGGCCTGAAGAGCACTCAGCCTCTCAACACACGCTGCCTTAGGTAATACACAGCACACACAAGACTCATTAAACATAAATGATACAGAGTTTTAAACTGTATCAGTTAAACACACATTTTTCATTTTTGTATACTCTAAAAAGGGACCTCTCACACTGTCGAATAGTCCTGCTCAATTTTCCGGCCCTTTAAATGAATGTTTAAAACAAAAATCATGACCATCATAATCATCTGTCGTATAGTTTTAGAAATGTTAAACTCTTCCAGTTCAGAGCTTATACAGCTTGATCCCTTGATGGTCATGGTCACTTCAATATTTTAGACACCACTGAAAGACTGTAAAGCATGTAACTGTCAAAAAGATGCTACTACTATAAATAAATACCTGAACGGCAACGGAACAAATCATTTGTTTTGAGAAACATTTGCATCTGTTTAACCTCTTATTCACCAGGGTATATTTAGGTTTTTCCATCTGAATTTACATGACCAAAGGCAAATTATTCAGTAACTGCATGAAATAAATGTACATTTTTTAAATTTATTTTTTATAAAAGTTCCCCTCAAATTAACAGAACGTGTTTTATGATCATATACATATCGCTGTATGCTCACAATTTACTGCTGAAAGCCAAAAATCTTAGCTGCTCTGTAATTTTTTATATAAATAATTTTTACAGAGCAGATCACTGAAGAGACGCCACCTGAGATCCAGTTATAGCTCAGATTTGTGGAAAAATGGGTCGACTTTCAGTAGAAAAAAAAAATTGTGAGTTCAGCTTCTTTTATTATAAGGGTTTAAAATTACATCACCCATCTATTTGACTGGAAAGAAGACAGTTACAGCTCTCATACGACCCCCACCTTTAGAATGTAGCTTATGAAATATGAAAGTTGTGAAGAATATGACGGTGCGTTTTGGAGCCACCGGTGGTCTCAAGGTGTTGAAAAGGTTAAAACATGCAAAACCAAGAAGATTTCAAGAAGGATTTAAAGTTTGGGCTTTTAAACCATCATCAAATCTAGACTGGAACTCAAAATGAAGACCTTTTGATAAACTCTGACTTGCTTTCAGTTTCTCTGTCTATAAATAAGGCTTGAACTGCTTTAGGTCTTGTTAGGCCTCACTGGCCCAAACCGTATAAGGCCTCATTCTGGTGATTGGTGCTCGAACCCGCAGATATATTTTTTCAAAACGTATGCAGTTCAGTAGCCATCTTCAGATTGATGGATCTTTTATAATCTCACCTTAGGCTGAGTAATTCATTGGCTTGCTGCTATTCTGTGTGCATATATGAATGTTTTATCTGGCTGTGTTTGTCTTTTGTCTTCCAGTATAATAAGTCTGGCCACGCGCTGTGCTATGCCAAGTTTCCGCATGCACCTGAGGGCTCGAGGGAAGGTGGCGCAAGTCTTTAAGATGCTCAGTGACGCTCCACTGCATCCGGTGAGCTCCCATAAACACTGATCTATGATCCAGGTTCCTTTTTTCACCAATCAAATGGGCATAATTTGCAGAGGTCTTTGGCCCATATACACTGAATTGCCAGTTTATTAGAGATACTCATTGCATATTATCATATGTCGTATACACGATGAGCCAAAACTTTATTACCACTTACAGATGAATAACGTTGATTATCTTATAACAGTGGTGCATGTCAAGGTCGGGGATGTATTGGACAGTAAGCGAACTGTCAGTTCTCGTATTTGACATGTTGGATGCGGGAAAAATGGACAGACATGAAGATTTGAGCTACTTTGAAAATAGGCAAATTGTACCTCATTAGGTGGGGACTGCCTTGGTGGCACACAGAGGACCAACAGCATATGGTGCTGACAATATCTTGGCTCATTAGTGTAGATGCACTCATGTCACTCGGTGCTGAGCCATTTTCAGTACAGCAACTACACCAACAGAGTGGTGGTTTGTGCTTGGTGTCACTGCTGGGTTGAGAATAGTTTACCATCCAAATATCTGGCCAACACAGGTCTAATGGTCAAAAAAACACTGTTGAAAGGCGCTAAACCTACAGGCTGCATTCATGTGGTAGGAGTTCCTAATTAAAAGACCAAGAAACAAAGTGAGGGGACCTAATGAAGCAGAAACTCCTATATGTTGTAAAATAAAATAAGACTTACATGTTTCTGTCCGCTTTCTCGTCCCTGTCTGTCAGAACCTGGCTTTATGCACTGCTTCTCTGATGTACATCCTGAGTCGTGACCGGCTAAATATGGACCTGGACCGGGCCTGTTTAGAACTGATGATCCGGCTGCTGGAGCTAGAGCAGGACCATTCGGTGGCCGACCAGCTTACTGCTAAAGAGATCAACAAGGTCAAAGAGAAGATCCGCAAACTCTGCGAAACGGTGCACAATAAACATCTGGACCTGGAGAACATCACTGTGAGTTCCTCTCCCTCTTCATTGACACTTCATTGAATGATCTGTGCCTCTTAGATGGTGTATTGATAGGTATAGTTTAGATCTACATTAGATAAGTCGTTTTTTAAGGAACAAATTATGAAAACGGATTGTGAGCTTTTGAATGGTTATGTTCATTCATACATCTTTTTCTTTCTGTCTGTCCTTCCCCAGACGGGTCACTTAGCGATGGAGACTCTTCTCTCTTTGACGTCTAAGAGAGCGGGAGACTGGTTTAAAGAGGAGTTGCGGTTATTGGGTGGACTGGATCACATTGTAGATAAAGGTAGTGTGGCTTACTCAGTGAATGCTTCAGAACTGCCATTATTCAACACGTGACTGTTGCCTAAGTTGTTGATTGTTGCTGCACAGGATAGATGATCTAAGATCTCACAGAGCCAGTAGGAAAACATGCAGACTTGCTCAAGTTTAAAATGGTCATACACAGTCGAGTCAATTTATTATGACCGCTTCCTACTTTCGTCGGCACACAAGCTGGTGGTGGCAGCGTTTTGGTCTGGGGACTGTTTTTGTGGCATTCTCTGGGCCCACTCATCCATGTGGAAGGCACTCTCAACCTTTTTGGGTGTGGATCCATCCTTGAAGATCACGTACACCCACACATGCTGATTGTCTTCCCTGGGGTCGATGGGATCTTCCAGCAAGACAATGAGACACGTCACATGGCTAGAAATGTCCGACATTGGTTAGAAGAGCATGACCAAGACTTCTAAGTACAACCCTGGCCCCCTAATTCCCCAGACTTGAACCCAACTGAGCATCTGTGGGACCACCTTGATCGTCATGTTCGCTCTATGGATTCTCCCCTGTGCCCCCTCCAGCAGCTGTGGGATGCACTGCAGTCGGCATGGCTCCAGATACCAGTGACAACCTACCAGGACCTTATTGAGTCCCTCCCAGCCCGTCTGGCTGCTGTCTGTGCCGCAAACGGCGGTTACTCTGGATATTAGTTGGTGGTCATAATAATGTGACTCGACTGTGTAATACCAAATTGATTAACCCAAGAAAGTGTGAAGGAACCGGCGTCCTGAAATGACCCGTATGCGCACATCCTGCTCAGTAACGTCACATGAATAAATCCGTTTACAGGCTTAAACTTCTGTTTGGCGCTGTTCCCATGGTAACGCTGAATGATGGCGCACGCTCAGTGAAAAAAGCTCATGAATTCCGATCTGAGCGCCATATTAAGGTCGCTTGACCACGAATACATACATATCCGATCTAGGACCACATATGAGTGGCTCAGGCCGGATTTAAAAAGAGCAGATTTGTGCTTCAACACAGCCCTGAAAATATCAGATCTGAGTCACATTAGGGCAAAAAATCGGATTTGTGCCACTTCAGCCTGGTAATGTGAACGTAGCCTAAGAGTCTCTGTTTACAGTTTTGAGTATACTGGCTGGTACATGACTTTGAGCTGATATTTGTCTCTCTCTCTCTCTCTCCCAGTGAAAGAGTGTGTGGAGAGCCTGGACAAAGAGGAGGATAAGGAGAACCTTGTGGCCTCATTATGGGGAGCAGAGCGATGTTTACGGGTTCTAGAGAGTGTAAGTACAAGGCCAGCGAGTCTGTGAAGAGACTTTATCTGAAGTGTGAGAGTTCCTGGTGGTTTATCTCTCTTTTCTTATTCAGGTAACAGTCCATAACCCAGAGAACCAGGCTTACCTGATTGCCTACAAAGACTCACAGTTAATAGTGTCCTCCGCAAGGTGAGTGGTGTGCCTGTGTGCTGTTTCACAGCAGAGATTCATGTCATGGTGCATTAGCAGTACAGCTACGGTTCAGCTGTGTTTGTGTATGTTTTCGTTCTGGAGATGATTCAGATTTTAAGTACAGTATGGATGTTTATAATGTGTGTATGTGTGTGTGCGTGTGTGTATAGGGGACTGCGCTATTGTGAAGAGATGATTCAGCGGTATAGCCGTGAGGTCAACAGCTCCCTCTCGTCCTCTGGCACTGCCCTCCCTCACTGTAGCCATAGCAACGTCGGCAAGGCCGTGGAGGACTGCATGAGAGCAGTAATAGGAGTGCTTCTCAACCTCACACATGACAACGGTGAGACGCGCACACAGCATGAATCACGAGTGTTTGCATACATGAAATGGTGCCTTCTTGTAGACTAAATGGAATAAACTTAGGCCCCATTTCTTCTTTTTACCCCTACCTCTTGTTTTCGAGTGTCACCCTAACCTTTTGGAACTGAGTTACAATGGGTAGTGGTTGAAATCTTCCCTACGAAATGGGACCCTCAAAAAAAAATAAAATAAAATAAAATAAAATAAATAAAAACATTACTTCATTAACAGCTACTAGTGCTGCTCTGTAGGCGACCCGGCCCGTCTTCAGTGACAGCAGAGGAGGGTGAAGTTCAGCTCCTCACTGCTGGGCTTTAGTTACATTTAGGGCATCATATGCTTTCAAAGAGGGGGGCAATTATTTATTATCACCCACCCCTAATTTTTTGGTGATACGAAGCTGAAGTCAGATATTCACCAGATTCTTGTTTAAGTTTTCCCGTTCCACCTTAAGTGGTGCAGCAGTTAGAGTTAATTCTGGCGCTTCAGATGTCAGAACTGCTAGACTATTTAAGGTGGAACGGGAAAGTTAGCTAGCTACCGAGACATTAGCATGCTATTAGCATTTTTTTTTTTTTTGTTGTTATGAAGAAAACGACCATAATACATTGAAAAGACATTAAACTAAGATAAAACAGTGGTTGTCGTAATTTTTAACAGAGCAGATTCTCACCTTTGTGGATTTCTTTGGTCTCTTGTTCAGCCATCTTGCCAGTTTTTCTTTTTTTCCTCATAACACTCTGTAACATACTGTTTGTAGTGAGTCTCTGAAACACCTCCTGTCTGTATATCGGAAGAGTTGGTACATTAAGGCCCAGTCCCATTTCACCCCTTGCCCTTACCACTTAGCTCTGTTTTCTGTCTAGGGTTAGGGTGTCCCGATTCTTGTTGAGATAGAGGGGGAGGGCGAAGTGTTGGAGCTACATGACCCTCCAAACGAAGGTTTTTCAGAGACTCCAAACAGAGAGTTATGAGAAAAAAAGAAAAACCGGCAAGATGGAGAAAAAGAGACCAAAGAAACCCACAAATGTGTGGAATTCAGAAAAATTCAGAGAAATTTTCTCTGTTAAAAATTACAATAATCACTGTATTTTCTTAGTTTAATGTTGTTTCAGTGTATTATGGACGTTTTCTTCATAACAAGCATAAAAATCACTAATAGCATGCTAATGTGTTGGTAGCTAGCTAGCTAACTTTCCCGTTCCACCTTAAATAGTCCAGCAGTTCTGACGCCTGAAGCTCCAGAATGTAACTGCTGCTCCATTTAAGGTGGAACGGGAAAATTCGAACAAGAAGCTGGTGAATATCTGACTTCAGCTTCATATCACTGAAGAATTTGTGGTGGGTGATAATAAATAATTGCCCCCCTCTTTGAAGATCATATGATGCCCTAAATGTAACTAAAGCCCAGCAGTGAGGAGTCGCCTACAGAGCAGCGCTAGTAGCTGTTAAAGAGGCAAGGTTTTTTTTTTTAATTTGAGGTTTGTCCCGTTTCGTAGGGCAAGATTTCAACCACTACCCCTTTTAACTCAGTTAAAAGGGGTTAGGGTGACAGTTGAAACAAGGGGTAAGGGTGAAAAGAAGAAATGGGATTGGGCCTTATTGTCGACCAACCCTATTTTTCTAAATGCAAATGCCAGTTTAGTTACTGTTCATATTGAAACACTAGCTGGTTGAGCAGTTCTTGTGACTGAAGCTTCTGCCGTTTGTGCCCCAATAAAGAAGCATCTTTCAAAGTCATTTAGATTGTTTCCTTAACGAGGCCTGATTAGTGTTTTTCTGCATGCCACTGAGCGTGGTAGGCTGTTAATTTCTTAATTGTATCAAGCAGTACACCTGTCTGGAAACATCTGCACATGTTGCTCTGCTCATTTTATTCTTTTTTTTAAAACTTTAATTTGTTACCTGTCTGTAAATCATATATGCTTGAATGCAACTGAATGTTTACATACTGCATTAACGAGAGTGAAACACGTGTATGGGTTGTTCCGAGCAGCGGCGTCTCTGGCACGGAAAGCCTGATGGGGCAGCAGCCGACTCATCAATGAAACTACACACAAACCTGATCCAAACACAAACGCACTCCATTAGTGAAATCGCACATTCACAAATGATCTTAACGGTGCAGGAGTTGGAGGAAGTGGAGACAGGATTATGAGTGATATGATAATGACATTTGATCTCACAAAACCTGGTTGCACAGCATCGCATTACAAATCCAAAGGTATCTATCAGTACATGATCACTATGGTTTGCAAATACACATCCAAGCAACATGTCAGAGCAGGGAAACACGCTTTCCAGGTCTTTAGGAAAAACACGACGTGTAATAATGCAGAATGACTCACTGTTCGAAAAGAAAAGATGTACGATGATCTTTTATCTGGGCAAACTTGTCAAACTTGTCTCTCAAAGTCCAACAACCCATGAATTAATTCAAGTGATAGTATAGCAAGAGCAGGCAAGGAAAGCAGGAGTGTTTTAGCTACACTCACAGTTAGCCATGTTTTTCTCTTGAACCTCTCTGGATTGAAGGAGCAGTTTTTGTCCTTTCCAGACTGAACGATGTTGAAATCCTCTGGCTGGTGGGTCTCTAACGTTTAATCTCTAATTTCTGCTCTAAAGGCTGAAACCAAATTTAACTTTTATAACGTTTTCGACTCGAATCATTATATTGCCTTGCTATTATGAGTGGCTGCCACAACGGATGAGGAACAATTGCTAGCTGTGTAGCGACGCCCATACCGTAAACGACGTTTACTAAACATCTGGACGTATGTAGATGTATCATTTTTTTTTATTGGCTGCTCTCAGCATGCGGCCAAAGTGATCGGGTCCCACAGCTGGTTATTGAAAGCGTGTTGAACATGCGCGGAGTGTTTTTAACTGCTCACTTGGTTAGACGAGCGCTGACGGGCCCCGCGCTCACCAAACCAGGACTACTAGGAGAAATAGGTAGCCTACTGGAATTTACCCAACAGGTACAGGAACATATTTGGGATGTATCAGACAGCACCCCTGTTGTCATATGTAATAAACGCGCAACAATGTTAGTTATGAAAAAAAAACAGTATATATTAGTTGTTAAACTGAAGTATTGATCATGTCGTGCACGGCTCCACAGCGACATCTAATGTCCCTAATGTAGAGACGCTGTGGGTTCCAAGTGAAATAATGACCACAGTAGCACTGTGTAACTGAGGAAGTGCTGAGATAGTTTCGGATTAACCACTACTTAGTTAAGCAGCAGAGAACCATTCAGTCTGAATGAAGGTCAGTACCTGCCTGGCAGTAAGGAAGTGTCTCTTTTTTTCCTGGCTCTTTGCTTGCTCTCTTTCTCTCTCTGTCTCTGTCTATAGAGTGGGGCAGCACTAAGACTGGTGAACAGGATCAGCTCATCCTCACGGCGCTGAACTGTGTCCTCAAAGTCCCTCGTTTCCTACCTCAAGAGCAGAGATTCGACATCAGAGTGCTCGTACGTGTTCATGACTTTCTCCTTATTGTTCCTCTGTAGCCATTACAGTTGTGTAAAACTTAGACGTTATGATTCACTCTATATTGATTCTTTAGGAAATCGCATGGAATCTCAAATTTCATCACAGTTGCAATTTTGTTTTGTTTTTGATTCATATTTTTAAAAAGCCATTGTATAGGGGAGAGCAGGACAACGCTGTTGAGTTTTTTTCTTAATAATTTGAAAGTAAGGTTAATAAAGCCTAGACATATCTGCTACAAATGAAAACATAAACCTTGTTTTCAGCACTTAACATTTGTGGATAGTTCAGCTGAAAGGAGCGTGAATGCAAACGCTGCAATTAACTCCGTAGTTGGGGTTAAATGTAACACACAAAGGGGCTGGTAAGTGGGGCAGATGGAAACCAAACAATTAATTCAGTCTAATTCTATGTTCTTTGAACAAGGTTTCTGACCTATAAACATAAAAGTATGTTCATTAAGTATAATCAGTGAAGAGAATGTGTCAAACATGTCAATTAATTTTTGACCATGAAGTTAATATTGAAATTTTATTTATATGATATGTGTAGTACGTTTTGGATGTAACTGTGCAAAAAAACTTCCATTGGCTGTTTTGGCTTCATATGGGGAACATTGGGCTTGTCCCATTGTTTCCATTGAGGGGCATTACAGCTAGCATTACAGCTAACCCCACCATGTGGAGTGAGTGATTTACCTGCTTCAGAATGGTGCTACAGCCACCAAGAGGGAGATTAAAATGATATAGATGTGAATTCTCAGTGCGTGAAAAAAAAAATGAAGATGAAGAAAAGGTGTTTTTATGGTACAAAAACAGGCTGAATCTGGAGTAATAATAAAAATGTCCAGTTGCTGTAAAAATTCACAAATGATGGCTTAAAACTGTTTAACTACATAAAATAGCCATTTTACGTTGTACATCACGTTAGTTTGTGCTCAGCTCTCCCGTGTGCAGTTGTAAATGGAGGAAATATTACAGTGGTGACATTTGAAAATGGTCCAATGTTTTTTGTGTTGTTTTTATCATATTTTATTCAGTGTTGATTCTAACGTTTTACAGTTGATGCAGTTGAATCACCATCAGAGCATTTTTTTTATACCTGCAGGGCCTGGGGCTGTTGATAAACCTGGTCGAGTACAGCTCCAGAAACAGGCACTGTCTTGTGGAAATGGAGGTGGACACAAGCTGCCTGGTAGAGCCAGAGAAAGATGTGAAGAAACAAACAGAAGATGGGATGGAGGGAGAGGCCCAGAAAAAGCTGGACCAGTGGGAACGAGAAGGCGAAGATAAACCAAGCACGCAAGGGTCCTCAAATGCACTGGCTGCACTGGTGCAGGTATGTAGGAGTTACCAAAGTGTAGGGCTGCAACTTTCAAACCGAATGCTGACTCAAATGTCTGCATATATTCATCGGTTTTAATGATTCAATAGTAAAAAACACAACTGTGTAACAACTAACACATATATATATATATATATATATATATATATATATATATATATATATATATATATATATATATATATATATATATATATAGCTGCTGTCGGAACAAAGCCTTTTCTCCATTTTTGTCATTTTTCAGTTTTTTGGCGTCATTTGAAAATGCCTGTTGCCCTTACATTATCTGAAAATTTCATGATAGACGGCCCAAAAGAAACGGCCTAAAATGACATGAAAAGTTGTCTGGTTCCATTGACTTTAATTGACATTAAAGGTAAAGTATGTTTTTTCTTTCTCCTGATTTTGATCCGACAGCAGCGACAAAAAAAGCTGCATGTATAGCAAGAAGCAAAAAACTTGTGGTCGTGGGATCCCACATCGGTCATAAGCGGTTCAGGCGCTGTGTTACAGAAACTTTAGTCCCAAGTTAAAATCTGACAAGGTCAAGATAAGATTTTTTTTTTTTTTTCACAGATTTATGTTGCAGAAACAAATCTTATCTTAATTGGTCAATTCTGTCTTTTCATTTCTAATATAATATTTGCTCCCCTTAAAACTAGAGATGTATGATGCTATTGAAGTCAGAAAAAAAAGTTATTTAATTGCTACTGTCCCTAACTGATGTTGTCATGGTGACCAAACAGATAAGATTTCAGAGTTAAGGCATTTCTGTAATAATGGAGCAAAACAAACAGCATCTTTTGTAACTAGGCTTGTCACCATTGTTACATAATTGCCTGATCACAGTTATTTGAGATAATCGGTTATTTAATCTAATCGCAGTTATTTTTTACCACCATAAAATGGACAGATTAAGTATTGTACAGTTGTTTAAATTCTGACAATAACCAATATTTGATGGCATATTTGTTGTACTCCAGAAAAGCAGAATGTTTAGGAGATAGTAGTTGGCATACTGTACTAGAATATCTGCATTTTATTAATTTTACTTCATTTTTAACTGTACGAGTAAGTGTTACCCACATTCATTGACCCAGAATTCCTGTATTGGTGCATCTCTGCAGAAACACACATGCATAATTCTCCCTTTAGAATTTTCTAAGGGAAGGTGCTAAAGTGTCTGTCTGTCTGTCTCTGTGTGTGTGTCTCTGTGTGTGTGTCTGTGTCTGTCTGTCTGTGTGTCTGTCTGTCTGTGTCTGTGTTTGTATGTGTGTGTCTGTGTCTGTCTGTCTGTGTCTGTCTGTCTTTGTGTGTGTGTCTGTGTGTGTCTGTCTGTCTGTGTGTGTGTGTGTGTGTCTGTGTGTGTCTGTCTGTCTGTGTGTGTGTGTGTGTGTGTGTGTGTCTGTCTGTGTGTCTAGCTGTTCCTGGAGCGAGAGAGAGCAGCCGTGCTGGCCGAGGCTCAGACTGATGACCTCATCAGCGAGGCGCCCAAGTCTCAGGCTGACCAGAGCGGAGAGTGGCAGGAGACCTCTGGGGAGATTCAGTGGGTTGCCACGGAAACCAACGACAAACAGGAGAAGGAAAAGAAGGAGGAAGAAGACGAGGAGCTCGACCTCAATAAAGGTACCGAGGCTTTCGATTTGACTTCTGCATGGAAAAAATCTTTTAAGGCTCGTAGAAATGCTGTGCTCAGCGATTATGTCTGAAAATACCAGGCAAGAAGTCTTGTTTATACTCTACTTATGCACAAATGGACCAGCTACTTCATGAAGTGTACCTATCGTGTATTTACACTCATTGTCAATTTTATCAGGTCCACTTATTATATAGATGCATTTTGTAGTTTTGTAATTATTAAAGATGGACTGTTGTCCACCTTTCTTTCTTACCCTGCCCTATTTACCCTGTTCTGGTCAGTGGTCAGGACCACCACAGAGCAGGTATTATTTGGATGGTGGATCATTCTCAGCAGTGACACTGACATGGTGGGGTTGGTGTTAGTGTGTGTTGCGCTGGTATGAGTGAATCAGACACAGCAGTGCCGCTGAAGTTTTCACATGATCCACCACCCAAATAATAACCATTAAAGAACAGGGTAAAAGGGCACTGAACAAAGTATGCAGAGAAACGAATGGGCTACAGTCTGTAGCCTAAATGTAGATCTACAAAGTGCACCTATATGTTAAGCAGACCTAATAAAATGGACAGTGTAGAAACAAGGAGGTGTACTTAATGATGTGTTTGGTCAGTGAGTGTGTTCAAATGAGATCTCTAGTATCTTTGTAGAATTGCTGATTGGTGGGTTCGCTGTTCTTTCTGTTGCAGCACTGCAGCATGCTGGGAAGCACATGGAGGACAGTATTGTAGCGTCTTACACTGCCCTGCTGTTGGGCTGCCTTTGTCAGGGCAGTCCGGTTAGTATCTCTGTCATTTTGCCATTCACTTTACTGACTGAGGCAGTCTGATTTATTTTTTTATATAATGAATGTTGTACTACTGGTTAAAAGAATTTCTTAGTCTGTTGTTTAATATATAAATGTATGATTGATCATATGTCACAGCATGAAGCAAGTTAAAAAAAAGTGTCTCTGTGTGTTTCAGTTGAATGTGAAGTCGGTGAGAGAGAGTCTTCCTAAAGGAGATTTCTCCATTATGACTGAAATGCTGAAGAAGTTCCTAAACTTCATGAACCTGACGGTAAGGACTGATAAAACACCAGAGGTCAAAATATGATAGTAAATTACAGTAAGAATAGTGCAGTGATGTGCAGGTATGTGCATGCATACCTCAATTTTCATCAAATTGAATAAAGATTTGGTTAATATTTTAAATAAACAAATAGTGAAACTTAAAACTTTGGATTGGATTTCCTAAGAGCAATTCTTACACCCCTTTACTTTACACACAGTACCTATGAGAGCCTTTGGGCTGAAGCTTTAGCATTAGCTAGAAAGTATAATGTTATTTCTCTTGCTAGAGGTTAGGTTTGGATACATTTTTCAGGTTTTAGTTATTCAAACTGTGATGGTGTTTTTGTGTTCAGATTTCATATACAGCCTGATTTAGTCATATTTTATAACAGGAAGTGATACATTGACTTCTCCAGTGGCAACTGTCAAAGGGTTTTCTTTATAGTTGGCTGAGCATGGATTTGAATCCTACTAATGCTACAACCAAAAAAGCTGCAAAAAATATAGTTTGTCAATACTGATAAAACCCTGCAACCGAAGCATCTGTAGTGTAAAATATTAGTTTGTATGCTGTTGCATTGACATCACCCTTCACTGGAACTGGGACCCTGAAAAAACAGCCCCAGATGATTATCCCTCCTCCACCAAACTCTACTGTTGGCACTATGCATTGCAGTATGTAGCATTCTCCTGGCATTTGCCAAACCCAGAGTTCTTTATCAGACTGCCAGATAGTGAAGTGTGATTCATCGCTCCAGTGAACGTTTCCACTGCTCCAGAGTCCAGTGGCTTTGTGGTTTACACCACTGCAGCTGACACTTGGCACTGCGCATAGTGATTTTACATGCGTGTGCATCTGCTTGATCATGGAAAGCCATTTCGTGGAGCTTATGGTGCACAAGCATTTCGTGGCCCCACTGTATGAGTTTGCATGGCCTACCGCTTCATGGCTGAACTGTTGTTGCTCCTAGATGCTTCCGTTTCACAAGAATAGCACAATGGACCGAGGAAGATCTAGCAGGGCCAAAAGTTCACAAACTTCCTTGTGACAATGGGGGGATCCTATGACCGTGTCACGTTTTGTCACTGCGCTCTTCAGTACGACCCATTCGACTACCAGTGTTTGTCTATGGAGACTGCATGGCTGTGTGCTTGATTTTACACACCTGGCTGTAACACTTGAACTCTGAAGTAATTAGGAGAGGACTCAGGCATAACATTATGAGCACCTGCTTGTTTCTATGCTCATTGTGCATTTTATCAGCTCCACTTACTTTGTTAGCCCCCTTTTACCCTGTTCTTCAGTGGTCAGGACCCCCATGGACCCTCACAGAGCAGGTACTATTTGGGTGGTGGATCATTCTCAGCATTGCAGTAACACTGACGTGGTGTGTTAGTGTGTGTTGTGCTGGTCTGAGTGGATCAGACACAGCAGTGCTGCTGGAGTTTTTAAACACCTCAGTGTCACTGCTGGACTGAGAATAGTCCACCAACCAAAAATATCCAGACAGCAGCGTCCTGTGGGCAGCGTCCTGTGACCACTGATGAAGGACTAGAGGATGACCAACACAAAATGTGCAGCAGCAGATAAGCTATCGTCTCTGACAAGGCAGACTGGCAAGGTAGGAGTGTCTAATAGAGTGGACAGTGAGTGTTTAAAAAACCCAGCAGCACTGCTGTGTCTGATCCACTCAGACCAGCACAACACACACTAACACACCACCACCACGTCAGTGTTACTACAGTGCTGAGAATGATCCAGCACCCAAACAGTACCTGCTCTGTGAGGGTCCATGGGGGTCCTGACCACTGAAGAACAGGGTAAAAGGGGGCTAACAAAGTATCAGAGAAACAGATGGACTACAGTCTGTAACTGTAGAACTACAAAGTGCACCTATATAGTAAGTGGAGCTGATAAAATGGACAATGAGCGTAGAAACAAGGAGGTGCTCGTAATGTTATGCCTGATCGGTGTATATTGGTCAGGTTCTACTTTGTACAACTTTTTTTTCTTGGTATCAGATAAAAACAATGTGAGCTTTGATGAGGATGAGTTTTAAGTATGTTGTGCTGACCGCTGCTGTAGCATTTGGACATTTCTGCTCTTTCATTTTCTATGTTATATACAAGCTCTATCCTCACACACAGCATCTCTCAAGACAGGAAATGTGTTAACAACCAGCGTAACTGTGATAACACTCCCTCTTGCTTTGTAGCACAAATCAAATAGATGTGAAGGGTCCTTTCTAGAATTCAGTCATGTTGAGCTCAGCTGCCAGTCAGAAATGAGTTTCCCGCCAACACTATTGCTTTTTCTCGCTTGTTCCTTTTGTCACACGAAAGATAAAGTATAAAGACTGAGATCTCGCAGCTCCTGGAAACTGGGACAGCTGGCATCCATCCATAAAGCAAAAACAAAAGTTTTTTTTTTTCTCAATTGATGGAAAAGAGACAGTGAAGTCGTATACTAAGGCCTGATCCCTTTTCTTCTTTTTACCCCTACTCCTTGTTTCCGAGTGTCACCCTAACCCCTACAAAGGGTAGTGGTTGAAATCTTGCCCTACAAAATGGGACCCTCAAATAAAAAAAAAGCTCCTCACTGCTGGGCTTTAGTTACATTTAGGGCATCATATGCCTTCAAAGAGGGGGCAATTAGTTATCATCGTCCACCACTAATTCTTCAGTGATATGAAGCTGAAGTCAGATATTCACCAGATTCTCGTTCGAATTTTCCCGTTCCACCTTAAATGGAGCAGCAGTTACATTCTGGAGCTTCAGGCGTCAGAACTGCTGGACTATTTAAGGTGGAACGGTAAAGTTAGCTAGCTAGCTACCGAGACATTAGCATACTATTCGTGATTTTTATGCTTGTTATGAACAAAACGACCAATTACACTGAAACGACATTAAACTAAGATAAAACAGTGGTTATTGTAATTTTTTAACAGAGAAAATTCTCACATTTGTGTGTTTCTTTGGTCTCTTGTTCTCCATCTTGCCAGTTTTTGTTTTTCTCTCATAACTCTCTGTTTGGAGTCTCTGAAAAACCTCCGTTTGGAGGGTCATGTAGCCCCAACACTTCACCCCACCCCTCTATCTCAACAAGAATTGGGACACCCTAACCCTAGACGTGAACGCGCAAAACAGAGCGCTAAGGGCTCAGTGGTAGGGGCGAGGAGTGAAATGGGATTGGGCCTTACTGTTGGCGCACATATGGCTACAGCCACATTCCAAGTTTCGTAGCTCAATTTTGATTATTTGCTCAAGTCTGATCTTTTTACCTCGGTGGTCCACTTTCGTATGAGTGACTCAAATCTGTCATTATTGTAAACGACCCTGTGTGTCGTGAAAAACATTCAGACTAACCAGCGGAACGAGGCTTTGTAGCGAGGATAGTTTGCTTTAAGCAGCTGTTCATTCTTAGAGCAAGACGACGGCTCAGATGCTTTGCTTTTGCACCTGGGCCTGTCACAATATTACATAATCGCCCTTCACACTTATTCTGAGAGATTTGCAATTATTGGAGGTAATCGCAGTTATTTAGGCAGTGCAGTCATTTTCCACAGTCAGTAGATTTCATAATTGTGCAGTGGGTGCGTTGGGTTGAGGCAAATAAATATAAATAAAAGAAAGCAGTAAATGCACTCATTGAGACATCATGGGGCTTTTAATTTGGAGTGCCAACATATTTAGAGGGAAGTGCTGAGTAATGTTTACTTGTTAGCTGTGTAGCTAATTCTAATGTTAGCATGCTAGCAGAATATTTATTTATTTGGTTATATTTTCACTCTCAAGAAAAATATAAGCTTTGCTTGACTGCACGTGATTCTATGTAACTTGTTACTAGACTCGTGCTCCTAGATGTAAGCACAGGTGTACGTCATGAACATATAAGACAAATAACGTTTTTCAGTTCTTGACATAGTTTGAAAGTACATGAATGGACCAAAAGAAACGACCCAAAATGACTTGAAAAAACATCTGGTTTAATTGACTTCCATTAAAAGTGAAGGGTGTTTTTACCTTCTCCTGTAAAGTTACCATTTTGGAGATATTGGTTTTGTTCTGACTGCAGCGATATGATGTTTAGTTCTGTTTTAGCTATTTTAAACCGTTTATTTTAGTTGTTAAGCTTTCTGCAGATCCACTAGTGGCCATTCCGCTGGCGGAATGAGAAACATCTCCGATATTTTTAATTCATATTGAATAGCATGTTTTCCCTCTAACTCTATCAGATTACATAGGACAGTGTGTGTGAAATGGTGTGCCTGTTGAGCTGCTAGTGAGCAATGATGGCAGTGAATTCGCACATCTCCACAAAGACAACCGTGCCGAGATGAAATGGACAGCCATCTTTATTTCAAGCAACTATGTATAGTTTTATAAGTGCCGCAGTAGAAGCGCATTTAAAGACAATAAAAACTTTTATAAATGCTAAGTCGACCTATGAAGATGAAAATCCAGTATTGGTATCTGTATCAGAAGAGTAAAAGTGGTATCGGTGCGCCCCTAATTGTAAGTAGCTCCCCCAGATGAACATCCTTAACATCCATACCCGAGTCTTACATAAATGAAGGTTTAAGGAAATGTTTATCGTCAAAGGCATGTTTAGAAATTCTGCACTGTCAGTGTTTCACCTGGTTTCTTTTGCTTTTGTCCTTTTTAAAGCATTAATGTTCGGACTCTTTTCTCTTTCTCTCCTCTTTTCCCTTTTTCTTTTTCAGTGTTCTGTTGGCACCACAGGGCAGAAATCCATCTCACGGGTGATTGAATATCTAGAGCACTGTTAGCGAAGGTGTCACTGTTTAGCGGAATATCAGAGGACCTGGCAGCCCACTTGGAGGCCTGTCGTCACTGGAGGCACAAAGACCTATGGCGGCTTCGCTGTGGTCACCGTCACCGGGGGTTAGAGGCTCCTTCTATTCACGGGTCTTTTCAAGCATTACTTAAATGCTGTCTCTCTCTCAAACACACCCACACACACACCTGTGTGTATGCATTTAATATTTTGAAAGAAATAATACCCCCCCCCCACCCCCCACCAATATATAAAGGCAAGGATATACACCAGTATTGTATTTGGACAAAAACAAAGATTTTATTCTTTTTTAAATGTTCAAAAGTGATGCTCTATTTATTATCAAATGCCATAAGTTGTACTATTGCTTATAATAGCGACTAATATTTGTTTAGAAAATCAAATGTAATGAAACGAAACATATGTTTGCACATGTATGTGGACAACATGGTGTTGAACTCTCTCATAAACTTCAGAAAACACACTGGTTACCTTTAGGTGAGGGCAGGATAGTTACAATAAACTAAGGGTGATGCACTTGTAAACAAAACATGAATGAATTGTCAGGACTGATGGTACTACTTTGCAGTGAGACTACGTTTATGAGTGGTTTACAATTAATTTATTAATCATAAATAAACAGGTATAACACAAATAAGCCTTCTTGCTTGCCAAATAGTGAGTCCACATTCATCTGTACTGTCAAACCTCAGACTATGCTGGTTACTTATCTCACCTAAGCTTCTCCATCAGTTAGCTATTATCAGATATAACAGATCACTGTTGACCTTTTTGTGTTATAACTGCTTATTAATCTTTTATAGGGTGTTTATGACAATTCATAATTAGTAAACTCACTTTAAATCATTCAAAAACCCTTTATAAGGATGGCCTGTTAGAAAGTGGTACCGGATTGGTCATTTTGATTGGTGTGGGGAAGTTCGATAAATGGAATTGAATCATAATTGCTCTCTATGAATGATGGTCCATGGGAAATGTAGTCACAAAGGGATCGGGTAGTTAAAATGACGTGTTTATCCAGTTTGGATATCTAATTAGGGCTGCACGATTTGGACTATATTGCATATTGCAATTATAATGCTACATATTGCAATTCCGTTAAATCCAATATATTGAAAGCACATCAGTGAATTCTTGGCATGATGTGGTCAAATATGGGCTTGTATTATATTATTTTTGACCAAAATGATGTACGTTTGTTGGATGATGTTAGCATCTTGATTTATCCAGAAACTTATCTGGAGCTTATCTGAAACTCATTTACATGTTGCAGCCTTCTGCAGTGTCAGCAGGGTTGGGTATTGAAATGCAGAGGTTTCATGGTGCTGAATAGAACTGAATTACTTAAAAAAATTGTTAAAAAAATTAATGTCACTCAATACCAAATTAGCCCAAAAGCATTAATGCTTGTTCCAAATCTAAAAGTTTCATTCAGGAGCTGGTATTGAAGTCAAGGCATCAGTATTGAACATTTTTAATCGATATCGTAATAACATTTGGCAAGCGATATATTGTGCAGCCCTAACATCTATGTAGTTGTGTGGTAAACCGGAGTGATTTTGTATTTTCCAACCTTTTCGAGGCACTTGGGTAGAAGCTGGCAAAATTGGGGGAGGGGGAAAAAAAAAAGCATGAATAGCTTTACACTGATCAGTGTACACCTTCACATTAACGGCGTTCCCTTGACACCTAAAACCTACCTAGCTCTGTCTTGTACAAGTGGGAATGCAAGCTTTTTAATGTTGCCCGGCCGACCCGCTCTGCATAATTTTGCAGATTTTCGTCTCTTGCTTGGAGTGCAAAATTGTCAACCTTGTGAAAATCAGGGAGTCTTAAATTTGATTGCTAATCGAAACAATTGTAGGAGGGGATTTTGTGTCATTGCCAGAACATGTGAAGAGAGGTATCTGTTGGGATGCACAATGATATCGGTACAGGCCAGCGGTCGGCAACATGCGTCTATTTTACTGTCCTGTTGCGGAATTAGATTTGTAGGTAAAAATAAAATAATCCTCCTTTACAGTAAAATAAAGCTCTGCTGATCGTTCAACACAGTTTAACAATAAATGGTCTTAAACTCTGGAGTTAATGTAGAACTGCTAATTCACCCTTTAACCCTGAAGATCAGCGCAGACTGCTAGTCACCATAGCAACACAGACAACAGCCTAGCCTAGCTAGTAGCTAACGAAACGGCAAAGAGAGAGATTTAAGACGAACGTCGATGATTTGGAGACGAATGGAGTTGCATTTATAATCCCTCCAGCTGGTTTCCTGATACGTTAATCTGCAACGAGAAACTGAAACACTAAAAAGTCGTAAAGCTAAAGTCAGCTTCTCATTTGAATTTTCCCGTTCCACCTAAAGTGGTACAGCAGTAACATTCTGGCGCCATTTAAGGTGGAATGGGAAAATTTGATCAAGAAGCTGGCGAATGAGAAGCGACTTCTAGCTTCGTAAACAGTCGAACGTTCAGAGATATTTTACAAGAAACTGTTCTACTTTTGAGGAAAAGTTTCCTGCCGGAGATGCGAGAAAAGCGACTACAGCTGAGCTAAAGCTCAAAGCAGAGCAAAGTGAGTCTGTTTTCGCTTATATTCAGCACATACTGAGACATATTTACAGCAAGATGGTCAAATGGACAGGTAAAAACGGAAACGTGGCTCCCAAGGTGGTTTGATTTTTACTGAAATTACAAAATTCTTAACATTTGGGACCTTGGGTCCCGACCCCGGTATAGGTGGATAATTGTTAAAAAAAAAAAATAAATAAATGAATAATTGTAATTGCCATTGGACAGATGATTAGATTTAATATTTCAAGACACATTTATTGTAATCTGGAAAAGCAAAGTAAGTGATGCTGTCCTACTTTGTTGAAATATGTATTTTATTCATTTTCATGCCTCTACAAGTACATTTTACATCACTGAGTAATGTTATGTTTAGTTCCAGTTCCTAAATGTTATAAACATTAATACATCAGCATCGGCATCATTACAGATATTGGATATCTGATATCAGTATTGGTCCATAATTGCCATATCGGTGCATCCCTACAAACCTGATTCCATGATTGTTGTAGTTTAGGTTTGTGTTTGAAAGAACAATCATGTAGAAACTGAACACATTTGAAAACCAGTGATTGAAAGCTGTTGCATAGCTGGACGTTTCGATTTGATCTTTTGTTAGTTTTTGTCTTTTTTTTTTTTAATTTTAGTTTCAAGAAGTATCAAATCAGCAGGACTGGCTGGTCTTCATTTGACTTCACAATGCAGAATTGACAGCGCTCGAAAATTGTGGGTTATTATTTGTTTTTAAGCCAGGACGCCGTGCTGGGACTAACCTGAAGTTTGTGTACATAGTGCTAAGTTGAATGAGGTGATGTTAATGATCATGGGCCTCAGTTAAATGTTGCAATACCAAAAAATGTTTTATTTTTTGTTTGGTTTTTTTGAATATGTTTCTGAATGAGTTCACCTGAAAGGTCTGTAGGTCGTGCTTCTGTTCAATTTAATTAGGTTTTCTTTCTTTGGTGTGAAATTAAGCAGAAATGTGCTTAAGTCAGTCCTTCGTGAGCACGTTTTCTCCTGTTGGATGTCTTAAGCTGTACCTTGGTGATGTAGAGCAGCTTTAGAATGCTTGATGAACATGAGCTTCAGCCCCCTCCTCCCCTCCCTAACTGAACTAAGCTAAGTGTCTTCTGTCTCTATCAGACGTTTGATAAAGCAGAGCCATACAGAGTAAAAACCATTTCTATTTTCTCTGATTTGTAAAGCTACAGCGAACCCAAGTTTCAAGTTTTTGTGATAAGTTAATTTGGAGTGATTTTTTTTTTGTTTTCCCTTTCTTTTGGATTGTAAATACCTTCTGTAAATACTACCTATTGGATGTTAGACTGCTAGAATACTTTTTCTGAATTGAATTTTTTATACAGTTTTTTTTCTTTGTTATTTGAGAAAAATGCAGAATAAGACATTTGCAGGAAATATATAAATATCTATATATATGTATAAACAATTTTTACCAATTTCCAGGATACTGTCTTTGATTACCTGTAAATAATTTTACCTTTAATAAATGAATTGCTACTTTATGTAACCTTGGATTTGTCCATTAAAAGCCATTTTATTCATGTACAGATGTACCCAGCGAAAGTTTGGACATGACTACTCATGAAGGGCGTTTATATATTCTGCACTTCACACACTCAGAACCTTGAAGTAATACACGGAACTTTGAAGCGACCAAATTAAATATGTTTTCTGTTTTGGATTCTTCAGATTGGCCTGTTTTTACCTTGATGGAGCTTTACATGTTCATTAGGAGCCCCTGGGATGCTCTATCTGCTGCTACTCATTCTGAATATTTTGAATTATTGAATGCGTTTATATGAACACCAATAATACAATGGCTATCGGATTTCGGCAGTTATCTGATTATTCAAATGGTCATGTAAACTACATACTCTGATTTCTTAGATCGGATTAAGGCCGTTATCTGATTTCTAGAGGGAGCTGGATTTTAGCTCACTATGCAAAAACAGGCCGCTGTCCTGGAAACGGAACAGCGTTTAACACAGCATCCGCGAGATGGCAACAAAACGCTTCTGGAGCGATGCTGAAACCAACTACATGCTCGCGGCGGGTGCTGGACTCGGGGAGTGCTGGAGGCTATCCCAGTGGTCATCGGGTGGGAGGCAGGAAACACCCTGGACAGGTCGCCAGTCCATTCTTTATCTTCTAAATGATGCATATTTATATTTTTCAGTAAAGATTAACATTGTAACGTTGCGCTTACATCACTTCTTACTCTGAGTTTATTGGCTGCTCACAAGGCAGAAATCTAATCACTGTCTGACTCGTGTAAACCTGGAGCTGCCTATTATCTGATTACCCAAGTGCATGTAAATGTGTTAAACGAGTTACTGACAAAATCTGATTTTCTGCAGTTATTGGATTATTAAGTGTATATTAAACACACTCAATGTTGAATTAGTTCTTCTAATCGGATTCAAAGTTTCGGAACCCGAGTTTTGCACTTAATGTGTTGTCAGGTAAGCCAGTGCAGTGGTCTCCAACCCTGGAGAGTTTAGTACCAACCTGTATTCAATAAGCTCTTTCGAAGAGTCTCAGAAAGAGACAGTTCCTGGACAGGTCATACTTACTTCTTACTGACACAATCAATTACAAGACACAATCAGTATTATTGTATTCAGAAGAGAGAGGCACAAGTAATTGACCATTTGCAAAATTCGAAGAAAGTCAAGTCTCTCTTAGTTATGGTTGCAACGTCCATCAGACCTTCAGTTCAGGCTATCTGGGCTAGTAGTGTCCATAGTACTTGTGCTAAGTTCAGAAGTACAAAGGAAAACTTAAACACACTTAAGCTACGTTCACATTACAAGCCTCATTGCTTAAATCCGATCTCTCTGACACGATGGTTCACACTCGTTTAGGTAAGAGACTGAAATCGGTCATTAATGTAAACGAACCAGCGTCCTAAAATGACCCTCATGAACACATCCTACTCAGTAACGTCACGTGAATGAATCACGTTCATCATCAGCACAAACTAACGAGCAGAACGAGCTTCGCTGAGAAGATAATTAACTCTGATCAGCTCTCAGCTTCATTATTAGAGCGAGACGAAGGAGAAAAAGGTGAGATGAGCTGCTTTTCCACCGTTTACAGGCTTTAGCTTCTGTTCGGCGCTGCTGCCATGGTAACGCTGAATGATGGCGCAGTGGAAAAAAAGCAGATGAATTCCGATCTGAGCGTCTCATTAAGGTCGCACGGCCACGAATCGGATACGTATCCAATCTAGGACCACATATGAAAGTGGCTCAGGTCGGATTTGAAAAGATCAGATTTGCGTGTCACACAGCCCTGAAAACATCAGATCTGATTAGGGCAAAAAAATCGGATTTGTGCCACTTCAACCTGGTAATGTGAACGTAGCCTTAGAGTTTGACATTTGAAGCAACCATTCAGAAATAAACTGACTATAAAATGTTCAGTGCTGATATGTTTGAATATTAATTTATAGTAAATTTGAACCATTTTTATATTGATTGAAAGAAGGAGATCGTTTGGTCACTTGATATTAAAGTGGTAGGATGTCATGTCTAGCAACGGATTGATGAGCTAACGCTAATGCTGGGGCTCAGAGTAACATTTAATGCTAAGGAGGACTCGTCAACAGTCTTTAAGCAGGCTACCTGGTAGCAACCGTAGCACCTGTGCTAAGTTGGTGGCCCACTGGCTTTTTGCTCAGCTATTTCCAGGCGTCCCACTGGTGGTTAAGCAGGGTATTAGACAAAATTGCACATTTCACCGCTTATTTTCCACTCGCAGTCCAATTTACTTCACTTCCTTCTTTCATTATACTTTGTAAATTAGTAGATCATTTTAATCGAGTGTCAGCAATATTTTCAACAGAATCATTTTATATCAGGCCTAGTCATTCATTTTTTTCCTCTAGGTTGTTTGTAATATTTGTCTTTTTTCCAAAATAAAAGTCTGTGTGCATGTTTGAGGAGATTAACAACTAGTTAGACCTTGTATGCAGGAGAGAAATCTGGGTGGTCCGAGGGGGACCAGCAGCGGCGAACAGCATGCAGGGTTACTGACCTTATCAAGCCAGCAGATCAATACATGCT